TACTGCAACTTGAGACCATTGCTCATAGTTCTGTTATCTGTCACTCTTGAGAACAGTCTCAGCGTTTTTTCATGTCTCGGTGATTCCTGATCAAAATTTGAATATCCTCTTTCAAACCTGGAATTCCCTGGATCCTCCTTTTTCCCTTTCTTAAAATCCCATCCTCTTTCAAACCTCGCTTCAGGTAGTTGCAGGCTGCTATCACATCCCCCATCAGTCTTCTCTTCTCTAGACTAAATAAGTCCAGTTCCCCCAGTCTTTCCTCATTGGTCATATCCCCCAGCCCCCAAACCATTTTTGTTCCCCTCCTCTGGACTCTCCAATTTGTCCACATGTTTTTTTGCAGCGGGGGGCCTAAAGCTGAACACAATACTCCAGATGTGGCCTCACCAGTGTTGAATAGAGGGGAACAATCACTTCCCTTGACCTTCTGGCAACACACCTACCAATGCAGCCCAGTATGGTGTTAGCTTTCTTGGCAACAAGGGCACACTGCTGGCTCATATTCAGCTTATTGTCCACTGTAACCCCCAGGCCCTTTCCTGTAGAGCTGCTGACCAGCCAGTCAGCCCCCAGCCTGTACTGGTGCATGAGATTGTTCCATCCCAAGTGCAGGACTTTCTGCTTGTTCTTGTTGAACCGCATAAGATTTCTTTTGGTCCAATCCTCCAACTCGTCTAAGTCACTCTGAATCCTAGCCCTACTACTCCCTGCAGCTTGGTGTCGTCTGCAAACTTGCTGAGGGTGCTCTCTATGCCATCTTCCAGGTTTTTGATGAAGACGCCAAAGAAAACCGGGCCCAGGACCATCCCCTGGGGCACTCCACTTGATACCGGCTGCCACCTAGACATCGATCCATTGATTACTACCCTATGAGCCTGATGCTCCAGCCAGTTTTCTATCCACCTTACAGCCCATTCATCCAGCCCAGACTTCCTTAGCTTGCTTGCAAGAATGTTGTGGGAGACCGTATCAAAAGCCTTGCTAAAATCAAGGTACACCACATCTGACAGTCTCCCCGCATCCATGGAGCCAGTCATCTCATCATAGAAGGCAATCAGGTTGGTCAGGCATGACTTGTCCCTGGTGAATCCATGCTGACTGTTCCTAATGTAACCTAACCTTTTTCTCCTCCAAGTGCTTAGAAATGGATTCCTTGAGGATCTGACCCATGATTTTTCCATGGGCTGAGGTGAGGCTGACTGCTCTGTAGTTCCCTGGATCCTCCTTTTTTCCTTTCTTAAATATGGGCACTATGTTTGCCCTTTTCCAATCCAGGACCTCTCCTGATTGCCATGAGTTTTCAAAGATGATGGCCCATGTATGGCTCTGTAATCACATCAGCCAACTCCCTCAGCACCCTCGGGTGCATCCCATCCAGCCCCATGAATTTGTACACGTCCAGATTTTCTAAGTAGTCCCTAACCTGTTCTTTCACCACTGAGGGCTGCCCACCTCCTCCCCAAACTGTGCTGCCCGGTGCAGTAGTCTGGGAGCTGACCTTGCCTGTGAAGATTGGGGCAAAAAAAGGCATTGAGCACGTCAGCCTTTTCTGCATCCTCTGTCACAAGGTTGCCTGCCCCATTCAATAAGGGACTTGCACTTTCTCTAATCCTCCTCTTGCTGCTGACATACTTGTAGAAACCCTTCTTGTTACCCTTCTCCAAGTGTGCTTTGGCCTTCCTGACTTCATCCCTGCATGCCCAAGCAATGCTCTTATATTCTTCCCTAGTTATTTGTCCAAGCTTCCTTTTCGTGATTTAGTTTACTGAAGAGTTCCCTGCTAAGCCGAGCTGGTCTTCTGCCATCCTTGCTTGTCTTGCTCTGCATTGGGATGGTTTGTTCCTACACTCTCAGTAAGGCTTCTTTGAATTACAGCCAGCTCTCCTGGACTCCTCTCCCCGTCAGACTGGCTTTCCAGGGGATCTTGCCCATGAGTTCCCTGAGTAAGTCAAATTCTGCTTTTCTGAAGTCCAGGGTCCTTACTCTGCTGCTCTCAATCCTTCCTTTCCTCAGGATCCTGAACTCCTTTCCTTTGGATCCACAGGGGAGAAAGATGCTATATAAAAATACACCAAGATGTGACCTTGGGGTTGTAATAATATCTGGTGAATTTTTTAAAGATTTTGATCATTTCAAACTGCCCTTTGACATTGAGGCTGTTCTTACATAACTTCATGGTAAGGGGGTACTTTTGGAGGTGTCTAGTGAAGCTTAAAGACTGCCACCATAGATGACATTTCCTGCTTTGCCTTCTGCCAGCCACTATGGTGTGGATAACAGCATAAACCACATCTTGAAATTTGTCCCATACTTCCTTTACCCTATTGCTTGCCTCTTCCACTGAAACTCGCTACCTGCTCGCACTTCAAGCGCTAAGCTCTGAACAACAGTTGCTACCTCAGCAATGGCTTATTGCATCAAAGCTTAATGTGACACATTTGTGTATCCGGAAGATAAACCTTTAAGCCTACTGTATGCCTGGATATATGTGCTAACAGCTACATTTGCAATTAGATGACTGCAGTGCAGCTGGAAAGTAGCCTTGGGAACACGTGTGAAAAGTTAATTAAGCTGGAGTTTTGATGTGGGTAGTGTGCTAGCAAGAACCATGGTGTCTTTATTCAGGTTACCATATTGTATAAAAATGTGTGTTTAAAACTAATAGTCTCTTCATCTGTACAAATGTTCAAAGTGCCTATTGTCCTACTTTTTCAAGTGCTCTATTATATATAAATGGCTCAGTCTTCCCGTATTCTTGTCAGCCATAGCGGTTCTTGTGATAAAATCCTGTTTTCAAGCACTTAAAACCTTATGAAGCATTCATCTCTCAAACTGACGTGTTCCAGGGTTGTTCTTTGCTGAAGACTTATCTTCTGTATGCTCCTATGTAAAGTTTCAGCCAAATCCCAATAAAAGAATGGGGTGGCTGCAGCTGTCATATAACTTTGTCCATTTTTCTTAACTGGACTGCCTATACTATGGTAACCCAGCCCAAAAGCAGCGTGGTACGGAGCAAACAGACTAGATACTACCTAGAGCTGGACAGGCACTGCCTGGTGTTCTGGCTGTACCTGACAACCAACTGCAAGACCTTGAAGTAGTCATACCTCTTCTCAACCTTCACTTCAAAATGGTGTCGATTATTCTATCCCAGCTCCCAGGGGAGATGTGAGAATAAGTTCAGACTTGCCCAGCCCTTAAATACCTTAAAGTTCTTAACTAGTAACACAAGATGTAATAAAAGGGCAAAGGGGGAAAAAATCTTTAGGGTTTAAAAGACTAGGGCTGGTGTATCATTTTTAAGAAAATTGCCTTCTCCATAGGATAGTCTGCTACTGATTTCAGTATTTTCATTCCATTATACCTGCTGTCCTATTTTCTTGCAAGCTACTGGCCAGTGATCTTCGTTCCAAACAATGACTTAAGTGATGATGAGGACACAAAGAAGTTCAGAGCATGTGGGAGTTTCAAACAGCCATTTCACCTGTAGCTATACCTGTCTTATCCATTTAATAAGTTGAACTGGATGCTTCGGACAAGTTCCAGAGTGATCACCTGAGAGTTTTAAGGCTCCAGTCTTCTTGCAGATTAAACACAACCCTAGTATCAGCCTTGTCCAATGTACCCATCAGTGTTGAACAGTATGAGGGAGCACATCTCAGGGGAGAAGATGAGCATGACTCTTTGGTGGCTGTTGATGTTATGGTTAACACAGTACAGATGGCAAATAGATGAGCAGAGAGGATGACCCAACAGGAGAAGCAGGGTTAATGTATCTTTCACAGGTACATACTAGGGCAAAAATGGTCTGTGGCAGTTGTGGGCAAGAGCTGGTAGCACTGTGGCAGAAGTCTTTACAGAAGTCATTCAGTCCTTGACCTCTGTCCTGCTCAGGCTCCACCTGGTTTACCAATTGTGGTGGCAACTGGTGGGACCACCTGTTTGTTTCGCATGTAACCCAGGCCAGCTTCAGATTGTAACAATGGTCTTGGGCCAACCTACAGTATATGACCCAGAGTCCAAAGGCTGCAATTCTCCATACCAGTTCCCTCAACCTGCTGCATACAATGCTGAGGTGTTAGATTATAGTAACACATTCCTTAAAGCAAGGGGACAGAAAGGAGCTCCTGTTCCCAGATGTGGGCTCACAACTCATCCCTGCCACCTGTCTTTGAGAAGCTACAATTCAGATACTGGACAATATATTCAAAAAAAATTAAGCCACCACATAGACACACCTATACTTTGTCCTTCTACCTATAGTTCTGAGGCTGCTTTACAACCATTAAAGAATTCAACTTCAAAATATCCCTGTGGAATAGAGAAGTGTTATCCCTATTGCACAGGCAGTGAAACAGGCCTGCAGCAGCTCCTGATACTGGAGTCTTTGTGGGGTAGCTTACTTTTCTGAGTGCCCAGCTTGAGGCACTTGGGATCTGGTTGTCAGCAGTGCTGAGTACCTACCAGCGCAAGGGAAGGCAGCATGATCTGTGGTGGTCAGCCCTTCATCTCTCAAATGGGGCACCAAAACCAGAGCCCCAAACTTGGAGGTCAGTTCTGAAAATTTATCGCTAAGTGAATTAAGTAAGGCTGCAAAATAAGGAACAAAACTAATGAGGTTATGCTTCCTTGCTGGCTCCACATCTATGGTATACACAATAGCTGCATATTATACATAAGGAGTTCAATGTTCCCTGGTAACCACTGCACAGCGCAGAAACAGGTGTCACCTTAAACCTTCTTGGGAAAGCCAATTACCACTTGCAATCCTAGCTTGGATTATTATGATTAATAATGCTGTAAGTCCTAATCGTGCTGACACCAATGTTGAAAGCTTACCCAAGGTGGTACTTCATAAAGGGCGCTGCGCTGACAACAGTGTTGCCAGCTTCTACAAGTTTGAGGAAGAAGCAGAGATAGGAGGAGAGCAGGAAGAGGAGATCTTGAAAGAAAGCAAAAAATATTTGTAAGACCATAACACCTCGGAACCCGCAGCCATGAATGGAACAGAAGGTCCAGATTTCTATATCCCCTTTTCCAACAAGACTGGGGTAGTACGGAGTCCATTTGAGTATCCGCAATACTACCTGGCTGAACCATGGAAATACTCCGCGCTGGCCGCTTACATGTTTATGCTGATTATTCTTGGCTTCCCTATCAACTTCCTGACTCTGTATGTCACCGTCCAACACAAGAAGCTCCGTTCGCCTCTAAACTACATCCTTTTGAACCTGGCAGTTGCTGATCTCTTCATGGTCATGGGAGGCTTCACCACTACCCTGTACACATCAATGAATGGGTACTTTGTCTTTGGGGTAACAGGTTGCTACTTTGAAGGCTTCTTTGCTACTCTTGGTGGTAAGTTCACTAACTGAGTAAATAGCCAACTATGTTCTGTCAGAGTTCCCTTGAGCTGTAGGAAGGGGAAGCCAGGGCCAGGTGGAGGGGCAGGGGGGAAGACGGGAAGGCAGCAAAAAATGGCTTTCAATGCATCACCAAGACCTGGAGGCACTTGGAATTGATACTTTCAGGCTGTATGTTTGGCTTTCAGTGTTGTAGAAAAGTTATATTTCAGACAAGAGAAGTGTGGGAGGACAAAGAACACATGATGTTTGCCATCTTCCTTTACTGCTTTGGGGAAAACCCAGTGGCTGAAAATGGTTGAAACTGGACTGTGGTATTGAAATATGACCTGGAACAGTATTCCAAAAGTGGTTTTATGCCGACTTTTAACCTTGGAAATGGCAAGCCTGGTCTTCCCTGGTTTTGCTGGAAGAATTTCAGAAAGGTCCCAAGGTACTTTACTGTAGATCCCCATACTTAAATTGAAGGAATAGACTTAGCCTTTAAAAGTCATCTTCTCCCCCATGTGTCAATTGATTGAAATAGCTGTTTACAGGAAATGGTAGGCCTAAAACCCTTTCTTTTCTGCATCCAGTTCATCCTTCAGGCAGATAAGTCTGCTCAGGTCACCATCTAACTAGTTCTTTGGTTACCAGAGAGTCTTCTAAGGTAGATGAGTTCTAAAATGTATAGTGAAACACAAAAAACCTCCCAACATCTTGACAACAACCTCTTTACCTTTGTTTACCACTGGGTGGAAGGTAAGAAGGATGTAGACCCAATTTCCACTTTACTGTGAGCTTTAAAATATCCTACTAATGTTGTTCCCAAACCTGAGATATGCTGGGCAGAGGGCAGAAACCAATGGGTGGTCAATTCAGTGTGCATTCCCTAGCACAATCAGGCGCATGGAGTTAATAAGTAGCAAAACAAGTGTGGGGAGGACAGGTTGGACTCAAACATAAGATAAGATTTTGAGTTCCAATGGAACTCAAAATACTGCAGCAAAATGAGTGTACAATGGGTTAGGTCAGCCATTTATGCCTTCCTTCCCATGCTTTAATTCAGATTTTTTTTCACATACAAATCTTACTTGCATTCTTTGATCATTCAGAGACTTGTTTGGAATCCATTATCCAAGAAGCTTTCACATACAGGACAACACGCTTTTCTTCTGTTGCAAGCAGTATATGAATATGTGTGTGTGTGTCTCTTACACAGGTGAAGTGGCTCTGTGGTGCTTGGTAGTCCTGGCCATTGAAAGATATATAGTGGTCTGCAAGCCCATGAGCAATTTCCGATTTGGTGAGAACCATGCCATTATGGGCGTCGTTTTCACCTGGATCATGGCCCTGTCTTGTGCTGCTCCCCCACTGGTCGGATGGTCCAGGTAGGCATATTATGCATTTTCTGAAATAAGGCATCATCTAGGACAGCATTTTTCCATTCTAAAATTGCAAAGCCTGATTCCCCAGTGGCACCAGTGCAATGCCAGGTACTAATCTCATCGGTTTAATGGCAGGTACATCCCAGAGGGCATGCAGTGCTCATGCGGGGTTGATTACTACACCCTGAAGCCTGAGGTCAACAATGAGTCCTTTGTGATCTACATGTTCATAGTTCACTTCACCATTCCACTGACTGTCATTTTCTTCTGCTACGGACGCCTGGTCTGCACTGTGAAAGAGGTAGGTTGACCTGCTGGCGACGGACTGCCATCAAAAACTGCATGTGAATGCTAATGCCAAATTTTTGGAAAGCTCAGATGCAGCTTGGAACTCCACAGCTGGCTCCATCCCTGTTGTGGGAGGAGACGCCGTTCCAGCCTTTTTTTCCCCAACACTCTCCCATGGAAAGCCGAGAAAGAAGTTACCCGCATGGTCATCATCATGGTCGTTTCTTTCCTGATATGCTGGGTCCCCTATGCCAGCGTTGCTTTCTACATCTTTTCCAATCAGGGATCTGACTTTGGCCCCGTCTTCATGACCATCCCGGCATTCTTTGCCAAGAGCTCTGCCATCTACAACCCAGTGATCTACATTGTCATGAACAAACAGGTAATTAACAAGTGCAGTTTTTTCTTCAATGTATTTCATTTCTTAAAAGCTTGAACCTTGCTCATAGATTTAAAGGTTAATGTGGCATGAAAGGAACTTTTAAAGTCAAATGTGTTCCTATAATACACAGGGATGGCTCTATTAATTATCTCACTATCCTTTGGTATTACACAGATGTAGAAGCCGTCAAGCCGGTCTGCTTGAAATGATCCAACTACTTAAGATTTAACTAGGTATCTAGGCCTCTGTTCTGCTCTCAGCCACACTGGCTTCAGTAGGAAAGTTAGGATAATCCCGAATCAGAGTTGTAGCTAGTTTTAAGGAATGAGAAATGTACAGAAGATAAGATTTGGCACATTGGATGAACCATCAGTCCATCACATATAAAGTCTTACCTCTGCCAGTGACACTTAAATCAACTTCCCTACTTTGCCATCACTGCCACCTTACATCAGGAACGAACATTTCTTCCACACACTGGCTTCATCATCATCCCCTGCCCCAAAAGCATGAGCTTAGCCTAGGCTCATATTAGCAAAAGGTGCAGCATGTCATGCTCACCATTTAAAAATCAGCATTTACTCGCAGTGGTACTGGAGATAGGGCAGCATTTCACTCTGCTTATAATGGGATGTCGCTGTGGTATCAGAGATATGTTTCCATGCTAGCAAAGGTTGATTTTTAATGGCTACCATTGCCTATCCTGTTACCCTAGATTAAAAGAAAGGAAGGAAGAGATTGCTTTTACTTTCAGAACACTAGAATATTTGGTGAGAATACATTCTCACTTGTAGAACAGCTATTTAGTTGTGAAGCAAAGTAGGTTTTCTACCACCGTCTCATTATTAACTTTAACCTTTCTCAAGAGCATTTCAACTAATGACTCCCATGGATGGTGAAAAGGACATGAATATAACAGTGGGAGACAAAGGGCTGCTCACTGCATGCGAGAGCCGACAATTGTGTCTCCACTGCTCTTTTGTCAGATTTTTAGCTGTTAACAAATTGTGGTCCTTCGAAAGGTCAGATCACTCCTGCCTCATTCACAGCAGAAACTGCTTTTATTGCAAAAGCCCTATTCAAATGAGGATTCAATCCAAATCACACTAAAAAGAATGAAAATCTTTTAAATTGGTTCTTCTCAGAGTGGACTGACTTTTTAAAGGACATTTTAGTAGAGCTGACTTGGGTCAATCTTTGAGGCTCTTCTTTACTTAGAGCTCACTTTAATGCACACGCACGTGCAAGCACGCGCACACACAGGAATCTCTTTGGGTAAGTCACTGACCCATTTGATGTAAATAGAGAGTTCTCAGTGAATCTGATTAGTTGACCTTTGTCACCCTGGTCACCCCAGTAAGTCGACTCTCCTGACTTTGTGCTCTCTTCCAGTTCCGTAACTGCATGATCACCACCCTCTGCTGCGGGAAGAACCCACTTGGTGATGATGAAACTGCTACTGGCAGCAAGACGGAGACCTCCTCGGTGTCCACCAGCCAGGTTTCTCCTGCATAGATTCCTCCTGGAAGCAGCTGATCTCAGGGCTGGCATGCATTGTCATCATGGACACTCAAATCCCATCTGCATGAATGTAGTCATGTTACTGTAATGACCACCGCCACCTGCATCCAATTCACAATTGACCCAGCAGGACGGACTTTTCAGTTCTGATAATAGAAATTATTTGAACAAGGCTGTAAATATTTTTAAAACTTAAATACAAAGGGTTAGCGCCTCAGCTGGTGTAAATCAGTGTATATCCATTGACTTGTAAAGAGTTATGCCCATTTACACCGACCGAGTACCTGGCTCATCATCTCTAGCTCCGCACAGATGGCTGGATGTTCCCCTTTCACCGAATGGAAAAGATTAGTGAGACAGCAGCCTCAGGGCTCAATATATACCATGGCATCTGTTTTGTGCGTGACTCGCAGAGCCCATGATTAGGACAACCCATTGTAAAGAGCCAAGACACAGATACCTGGTAGAGGTTGAGATATATCCATGAGCCTGTAACCATAATCGGGGGCCAGAATGGTCAGGATATATGTCAGCTGTGAACATTTTTGAGCTCTTTCTAGTAAGAGATGGACCCCACTCACCATCACAAGAGTCCTGTGTCCTTGGGAACCCAGGGACTTATTTATAACATGGCCAATGAGGTGCATATAGCTGCTCATAGCAAGTTATTGCTGCTCAAGGGTCAAATCCTGCACCCCCTCCAACAGCCCAGAAGGCCCAGTAGATAATCTAACAGATGTGGCTCTGCCTGCAAAGGAGGGGGCAGGATTCAGGGGGTTCATGCAGCTGGATCCCTTCCATGTTTCAGAGCTGGGCTCAGTGGAGCTGCATGAAGCCTAGTGAGCAGAGGCATTTAGAGGGTTACAGCAGGGTAGGACATGGCCATTAGCAGCATCTCTAGAGTAATCTTGGGGGGTGGATTGTGTCCTTTCTTCCACCTCCCCTGCTTGCAACCCAGTAGTTGTGCTGTGTACAAGGACTTGGCTTTGAACCTTAAGCATCAGCTGACTTAAAAATGTCTTTTCTGTAGCATGTGATGTTAGGTTTCCATAGCAACATCTATAGTCATTTGGCTTCCCCCTGACTCCTCCCACATGTCCCTAGACCACACCCCTATAGTTTGAGCTCTTTATGGTTCTCATGTGGTTCACCTACCAATTTTCAGCTGTAATTTGATTTGGCATCAGACCAAGTAGGAGGTTTTGGCCAGTGTTTGTGCTTTTGAGGGTTGATTGGTAGCAAATTGCTACGCTTTTCTTCAACTCTGTAGCAAGCAAGCCATGGGAGCATATGGCTCAGAGACTTCAACATATGTTTTGAGCACTACAAGATGGCATATTGCAATTGTAGCAATGTTCTTTATTTTTATTTTTAGCTCAATTATACAAATAAGATGTTTTTCTCGCTGTTCAGTGTTATCAACATTTGAAACTATTTTTGTACGTTATTATCCTCTCTGATTTCTAATCCCATGCAGCTTTGCAAGGTCTGATAGGGAAGGTATAGAAACCACGCAAGTTAAACCTTTAATAAAGAGCAATTTGCAAGTACAATTCTCTCATTATTTTTTTATCGATACTTCTACATATTCATTGAAATCTAAAGATCAGAGGTTCATGAATCATTCAGTGTTTTGGTTAATGTCTCATTTATGTACTCAGGATCTGAAAGGCTTTTTTGGGGAGAGCAGAAAAGGAAAGAGATTTGATTGCCCAGGTATATTTCCCCTTACAGAAAGAATACAGTCATTGAGATGGTTGGCTGAAAGCCCCATCATGGTCTTGACAGTGGCCAGGCCAATGTAGCCAAGAGGAGGAGATGGCTTGCATTTAGAGCTGCTCTAGGAAGTAAGCAAAATGCCATGCCCTCTTCTGCTGCATCTCTCCTTTTGGGATCTCACAACATTTCTCTGCAGCACTCTTCAATGGAGAGATCCATCTGTTTTTGCCCACACACAACAAATATTTGAAGGGTGTTGCAGATCCACTGCCCTGGTTTGCAGAACATCCTTCATCCTGTGTCCTGCCTGACGGGAATTGCGTACCTTTGCCTGGGAGCTAGCTGTAGACCAAAGACGTGAGTTCACCTTAAACACTAGTGGAGTATCAGCAACAGCAGCACAACACTCCCATAACCTGCTCCTTAGAGGTGCTTCACCAGCAGCCTTGAAGGATCACTGTAGAAGTAATTCAGTGGGCATTGATCTTTCAGTTGCGGAGCCTTTATAAAGCAGACACCTGGATTGGCTCACAGACCCAGGGTATCTTTACTCTTTGTTTCAAACAACAGGACATACTTAACTCCAAAGGCCCCTGGTTCAACTCTGCTGCATTGGCTACGATGGCAGCTGACAGCCACACTTGTAAGGGGTAACCCAGACAGAATTTGCACCCAAAGTGACAGATGATGGAGGCAGACAGAAGAAATAAGTGAGACTGGGTAGCAGTTAAAACCAGCACTCTCGCCTAGCAGGCAGTGGCAGCAGTCTTGGATACAAGCCGAAGTTTTGATCGCTTCCTTCCAGAGAAGAGCTTTGGGACTGATCCCAGGAGCTGTGGCCCCCTGGGGAAACGTTCAGTCTTAGCTATTCCCTGTGAGCTGCAGTGCTGGTGTCACAACTGCTCAGCAGTCCTCCCTTTGCTGCTGAGAGGTACAGCTCCATCTCTTATTCCAAAGCAAAATCAATCCAAAGCAGAAACATCTGCTGTGGTTGGGGAGGGGGTAGAAGCTGGCACTTATTTTGTCCAGACACATCAGCTGCCTGAAGAGCTTCTGAATTATACCTTCCTTAACAAGGGAGGCTGCGATGCAACTGCGAAGCCAGTTCAGCTTCACCTGCATTGGTTTTGTTTTTGCTGGTTCCTTATAGACATTTAACATGAGATATCTCTGGGCAGATTTACACATTCCTAAACTTCTAATAAATGTATTGAATAAACCAGGAATCAAAGTCTCCTTCAGATAATCCCAGCATGTCCGTGAAGTCTTTGATCCACAAGTGATTTTACAAATGACAGCTGGCCAAACCATCAATGGTGCTATAAAGAAAACTAAGGACTCACATTTTATCCACTACAGATGAAATGTGGCCATCTCTAGCATGAAACTCTGATGATATCTCACAGTTATCAGCAACAGCACATGGTGATTTGGACCAGGAAGGGGAGAGGAACATCACACGCAGCTGAACCCCTGGGAGGAATGTGTGTAGGGCAGCGTGATGGTCCAATTTGAATCTGAGCAGGACTGATGTTAAAAGTTCAGAATTGGTAAAAAATAAAGTACCACACGTTCCTCGATGACCTGAAATAGCCAACAGCTCAGTTCTCATATCATTTTCTTCTCTTTATATGTCCCATAGAAGACAATGCCTCCCACAATACAAGGCACATGCTGCAGAAGCAGCTCAGGCAGAGTGGAGAGTGCTAGAAGCACACGAATGGGTGAGGATTGTATCAAGTCACCGAAGACAACAGCACAACTCGGCTGGGTGATAGCATCTGCTGCAGGTGTTAGCTGAGGATGAGCAGAGATTGCTCTTTATTTTGGTGAGTTTCACCAGAAAGACCCAAGCGTAAGGTGAGAAGACCACATCTCTGCCCCTTGCCGGAGTCCACAGGGTATGGGTTTGTACCGCGTTTGCAGCATGTCAAGACTATTGTCAAAAAAACAAGCCCTGCCCACTTGACCCTGCTTCACGTTCACCCCCAAAACACTGTGCAGTAGCTTTACAGTGTGGTCAGGGATGCTCCCAGGATCTCAGTCCAGGGATTGCTCCCAAGATCATCATGGGGCATGCACACCACCCCTCGAATAGCAAACACACAAGTTATTTTCAGAGTGCAACACACCTGCAGGGGGTAGGGCAGGTCTCTTAGCAGTGGTCTCAGGGCCTCTGCGGACACGGTATGGACCCACCCTGGGGCTGTCTGAAATGCTAGTTTGGAAGCCTCATTTACTCCTTCTATCTGAGCACATGCTCCCTTCAGCTCGTGCAATCTCTCTCTCTCTTTCTCTCTGAGCTGCTGAGTTACATGCCTGCAGAGACCAGCCTCTGGCCAGCACTGGCACGTTCCACTTACACGCGTAAGCAGGTGCAGTGAAGGCTGCAGCTCAGGCTCCTGCTGGTGCTCCCCAATCCTGGTTTCTCACATCCTTACTGTTCCCATCTGGGTGCCCCTGGAGCTCAGAGACTGCCAAAATGCATTAGACAAATGGGGATTATGACAGAGCCAGCAAACTCATTATGGACCTAGTCCAGGCCTAAGTGTTTCTGGTGCGGTGCTTAGGGCTTTGGCTCCGCTGGGGTGAGCGGCTGGCAAGGCCAGCCAGCAGGGTGCAGGCACAAACCTCCTGTGCCCCTGGAGAAGGGAAAACATAGGACTGGCACTCTGGCCTCACCCAGCCTGGGGTGCTCTTTGCCAACAACTTCCAGCTCATCCTCAGTGTCCTTCGTTTCCCTTGCTGCCTCCTTAGCTCAGTCTCTGTGCACAGAGAACAGGTGCACTGGGCAGCTCGGGGCTCCCACAACACAAACCTCTGCCCAGGGGCATGTGTGGACAGACTCACCCCACCCAGGCATCCCACAGCCGCTTGGTGCCAGGACCTGACTCCCTGTGCAGCTCACCTGCTCCAATGAATGCCAGGATTTGAATGCCACATGCAGATGAAAGGTGATGGTTTGGTCTGCAGTGGAGAAGGCTCAGGTTTCGAGGGCTGCACCCGCTCGCCTGTTCCTCCGAACTGGCAAACTAAACTCAGCCCTGCTGCTGCCACCTGTTCCCAATCTCACTGGCACTGGGACTTGAATGAGAATAATTAGCAGCTGCCGGCTGCAGCCCTCTCAATTAAGATGCTAATCAGAGAAATTAGCAGGAAAGTGAGGTGAACCTGTGAATAAAATCTGCTTTGCAGCCAGCCTGGGATGGGCTGCCATGTGAGGCAGCAGACTGGAAAGTTTGCTGTAAGCAATGGCTGTTGTTGCAATGGCCTCCAAGCCAGGTAAGGCCTCATTTCCACCTGGGTGGTCAGGATTGGGCTGTCTCTTTCTTGTGTGTCCTTTGACTCCTCTGAATATGAATCTCGAGCTCTAATCCCTTCAGTGCAAGTGAATCCTCTTAGGGATCAAACTGTCATTATTATTTTATTCAACATAGCCTCTCAGAGGGAGGGGGTGCCTTGAATGTGGCTGGTCTTGGTAGATTTTAGGTAACTAAATTAACCCCCTGAGCCCTTTCTGAGTGATGGGTGAATAGGTGTGGACAGACCTTGGAGCACTTAAAAAGGCTTGGAGAAATTTAGCTAGTGTTGCCAGGTTCCCCATCTGTGCTCTGCTCTGAGGATGAGCCTGCTAGTGGGGCCTCCTCCTGGGGAGATAAATGTCCTTGTGGCTAAGGAGAGCAGCCCAGGGAGCAGAGTCCTATCTCAAGCCAATGCACAGGCTTCTTGTGAGGTCAAGGCCAGATTGCTAAAGGTATTTGTCTTCCTAATGGATGTTGAAATTGGTGTGAGCTGATACTTAAACCTCTCCCAAGCTTCAATGTCTCTAATTCACTTCCCGCTGCAAATGCAAAGGTTGTTTCCTTGGTCTGTCAAGACCTCGAGGCAGAGCTTGCCCTGCATATGGGGCTTGGTCAAAAAGGAGCCTGGCTTGAGCTGAGGGCTGTAGGTACTAGTGCTGTCATAACTGCCTTGGGTTTTCTGCTCGTGTATCTTCTTGCTCTGAATGGAAGCGAGCCATGTTCCTGAACCTGATGATAACTGTATTTCTTCCCCCATGCTCTCTCCTGCTCAGCCAGGGTGGCCAGGCTGTCCAGCATCTTTAACTGCAAAAGCAGGGGCAGCCACCCACCAACGCTCAGTATGGTGATTGAAGCGCTGAAGGCCCAGAACGAGAGGAAGGGCACCTCGGTCATTGCCATCAAGCGCTATATCCTTACCAAGTACCCGGCCGTGGACTCAATCCGGTTGAAATACCTGCTGAAAAAGGCCCTGACGAAGGGCCTTAAGGATGGGTGCCTGGTGAGACCCCAGAACTCCTCTGCTTTGGGGGCCACAGGAAGGTTTAAGGTGAGTTGGTTACTGGATTAACTGCTGTGGGCTGCATGGTGTTGGATGCCCATGCCCTAAATCTGTGGGCTGGACCCTGCGCGTTCTGGGAAAGGTGCCTGCCCAGCTGCTCTACAGCAAGATGCCAAGAGCTGGGTGAATGGGGTGACCCCCCTCTCTGGCTGGGAGTCCCTTGTCCCTTGAAATGAGTAGGCAGGGCTGTGGGCCTTGGGAAGGTTGATGGGGCAAGTGTCCCTCTCCTGAAGTGGGAGCAAAGATCACAGTTACACTGAAAAATCATGGCTTATCCCATAACGTTTTTCAGGCTGAAGGTAGATGTGCCTTGGCTATGGAAAGACTGGATGACATGGGGCCCTGGGTGTCCAGGGATGTAGCCAACTGCCCCATACAGGGCTATTGGGCGACCAGGGCAATAGAAGATGCCCATCAAACAATGGTCTGTGGCACGGCTGGAAGCTGTATGATGCCTATGGAAGCCTTGCCAAGAGGATGGGCTGATGGAAACTGCCTGCCTCTCCTTGGTGTCAGCCTTTGAACTATACCTGCCTGGCTCCAAGCTTGCTCCCACAGCGGCTGAGCCCAGCTCTGCAGGCGGTGATGCTGCTTTGCTCTTGCTTTTTACTAGTTAGCACCTGAGAAGCCCAAGCTTAAAAAAACATCGGGAAAGCTGGATCCAGCAGAAGGAAAGGGCCCCAGACCAGGGAAACCAGGAGCAAAAAAACCCAAAGCAGCTGCTGGGAAAGCTGGCAATAAAGGTGAGAGGGCCCCTTTCTCCTGCACTGCTCCACTCCCTCTGCAGAGGTTGGTGATGGGCACAGGCTGCTGGGTGAATTGACATGCCTCTTTAGAGCGCTGGTGTTGGCCCTCGGGGCCTGGCTCTCCAGCAAACCTGACCAAGAAAGCAGCAAATGCCTGAGCAGACCCTGGCCCCTCTCGGCTCCCAAGTCCCAAGGTTGTGATTCTGGGTCGGTGGCAGCCCAGCCCTGCAGTGCCTGACCACCCCCCCCCACTGACCTGGGGCACCTTTCTGCTGGAGCTTGGTGGCACCTCCAGCTGCACATCCAGAATTGCCCAGGGCTGACGGAGCTGCACAGTTCAGTGCCTCATTCACCCCAAAGCAAGTCGGGGTCCAGAACCTAGGATCCTACGCAAAGTCTTGAGCTGATAACTGTGTGCTCAAGGCTGCCGAACATGCCCCTGCAGGCCTGGGCTCCTTACCGTATGCAATGATGGCCACCGTGTCCTCCAGTCTGTGCCTGGACACAGCAGTGATGCTGGGCTGTTTCCCTTCATGGATATCCCAGTGGCCAGAGCTGCTGCCCAAGGCAGTGGGAGCCCTGAGCTCCAGCCCCTCCTTTGCCTGGGGGAGGCTTTGACCCCCCTCTCTGGCTGGTCTGGAGCAGGGGCCTCCTGCATTAGGCTAGTCTGGGCAGGTGTGGCCATCTGACCCATGCAGGCAAGGATCCATCACTGGGTCAGATAGAGGGGCTCCACAGTCATTGGCTCAAACCTGTGTAGGCCTTGAATGAGGTGCCTGAAGGCGTATAGGCCTTGCCTGCTCTCCTTCCTCTTGGTTGAGCGCTCTTGCTCCCAGCCCAGTGCTGACTGGATCCTGTCCTGAGGTGCTTGCCTCCTCTTGCAGGGGTCCACTCTGGACCTACGAGCTCGCACTCTAGTCCTTTTATTGGCTCTGGCCCTAGATGCCTGCTTCTTGACCTAACTTCACTGGTGCTACAGCTACCCAGCACTGCCTGGGCCTCAGTGGTTTTGAAAGTGAGCATTGAAAATCACTAGTTGCTTCTGCTGCCTCTATTGACCTCTACTGAACCCGTGCTGTAGTGTTCAGCTGGTTGCTTTAGCTACCTTCAGGAGGGAGTCTGCAGTGCTCACACTCATCCTTATTGATGAGCGTCTCATATCTCATGGTGTGCTGGAACTACCCTGTTCTACAAGGGGCATCTTTCCTGTAAAGTTGGGGGGGGCTATAGCCTTGCACGGAGTAGACAAATGCATGGGAAGAACCAACTCATCCTCCCCCAACATTTCCTTTCAGGAGATGCAATGGAGGGGAAACCCAAAGCTGAGAGCAAGAAACCTAAGGCCAAACTTGCCGCTGTAAGTACTGGCTGCCAAATGAAAGCTTCCATCAGTCTCCTTGATGAGCCTCAGAACTGCAGTGCAAAGGGAAGAGCTTGGGAGCAGCTGCTCTTGTAAAGTTGTGCGAGGAATATTGGCAAGGAAGCGGCTTCTTGCTGCGGAGTCCTGAAGTACTAACTCTTTTCCAAGCCGTGAAGGAAATGGGGGTGGGGTGGGGTGGGGGAGGGGGGAATATTTGATCTCCTTTGTTCCAAAACGTGTGTTTTCCATTGTGGAAACGGAGGGCAGAATTCAAAGCTGCCGTCTACTAAAACCACTGTACCCTCACCTTGCTATGGGCTTGTGGCTAGTTAAATGAGCAAGTGCTATTGCGATGATGAGTCTCAAACTCATTCTCTTGGTAGGGCCGGCAGAAAGCTCCGGGGAAGCCAAAGAGTTCTGATGGCAAAGCGATGCCGGCAAAGAAGCAGCCGCGTGCCAAAGAGGGGTCTCGAGGGAAAGCAGCCAGTGAGGCAAAGAAAGCTGCCACAAAAGAGAAGATGGTCCCAGGAGGGGATGACCCTTCGAAAGCGGAGGCAGGAGACCAGAGGGCCACTACCTCCTCCAAAGCCAAGGCGGCTCCTAGGCCGAAGAAGCCTACAAAACCCAAAGAGACAAAGGCTGAGAAGGCACCAGCCAAAGCCAAGGCAGCTCCTGGTGCCAAGAAAACCACTGTGAAGGGGAAGGGAGAGGCAAGGGGCACTGAGAAAGGCAAAGGGAAGAAGAGGGAGGCTGTCCCAGGTGCTCAGTCTGGCAAAGAGAGAGAGGATGCAGAAGGCAAATCCACCAAAGCTGGCAGCAAGCCTGGCAAGAAAGCAGGCTAGAGTCTCCTGACTCCGGAAGTACTCTTGGGAAATGCTTGGACAATGGCTGCCTCCTGCCTGAGGAAGATGGATCGGTGCTTGGCTCTATCCAGACCAAGAAGAGGGAGGCTGTCCCAGGTGCTCAGTCTGGCAAAGAGAGAGAGGATGCAGAAGGCAAATCCACCAAAGCTGGCAGCAAGCCTGGCAAGAAAGCAGGCTAGAGTCTCCTGACTCCGGAAGTACTCTTGGGAAATGCTTGGACAATGGCTGCCTCCTGCCTGAGGAAGATGGATCGGTGCTTGGCTCCATCCAGACCAGTTGTTTTGTTTGGTTGGTTTTTTTTTAATGATATTCCTCGACTGCTTTGATCCTGGCTATGCATGGGTTGCTCTGTTTTTAATCTCTGAATGAAGCAAACTGGTTTTAACTGTGTGCCTATTACTTGTTTTCCAATAAAGGTAGTCAACTGTTCCTGGGAGTAATGGTTTTCATGCCTGGCTTGCAGGTACCCTGGAAACTGCAGAAGACCTAGCATTAGCACCCCATGTCCCATATTCCTTTTTGCTGGGGTACTAGGTTAAACTGAGCTTGAGCCCAGTTGTGGAGTCTGAGTCTTGCTAGTTAGACCAGTGACAAATGCCAACTGGGTGAAATGGAGTGAGCCAGCCAAGTCCAGGGGGCAGAGTGCCAGCACTGGCAACCCCTTTTGTAGGGGAGTCTCTCTAGCATGTGGGAGTGCAGCTATCTTCTGACACCTACTCTGGGGAAGGAGGTAGTCCTTGTTCTCTTAAGACCCTAATGAACCCATTGGCCCCTGGACTACATGCTGCTTGTGGCAAAGCCTAAAGGTTATGAAAAGGTAAATCTTCCATCCCCAAACTAGTCATGCTGTAATGAGGTTCAACTTGACTGCAGCCTGGCATAGCCAAAGGGCTGCAAGCAAACGCTTGCCTAGGACACCTAGAAGCTAGCTTCCTGCTAGGACTGGCAAGGCCTGGGCAAGAGGAGGAACTTGCCACTGGTAAAATCATGGGAGGCCGGGATTCTGCCACTACACAAGCTGACCTCATTGTTGTCCTTGTGTTAATACCTTGATCAGCTTGGATTACAGGAGGGCTGTAAAAGCTGCTTTCAATCTATACCTGTACGAAGCACCTGTTAAGGGCTCATAGTGAGAAACCTTTAAATGTCCTGTAATAGACCCTAATAAAATAAAGGGTTATTTGGCTGGGCATAGCCAGTCTTCATGCAAGTGATACCTGCCAAGTCATACCCTACCTGTACTTGTTCTCCAGACCTCTTTTAGCTACTAGTGCCCATCAATCATCTGGTGAGGGTGCCACAAGGGAAAGCTCTAATACTGGAGGCTGGTATTGCTGAACTTGGAGCAATTGTTGGAAGAAATCAAATGTCTAGCTTGCTTTTGTCGGTTGCATGTTATGCAAAAGTTTCCAGGGGAAAGACAGGTAGTGATAAGGGTCAGACTTCACTGGGAGGGAGAAGTACTTGCCTTCTCTCAGCCTCAGTGCCTAAAGAGGCTTTGGATAATCTTCAGTTGGCCTTGTCAATGCCCTACAAGGCTCCCACCTCTAGGCAGAGTTAACTATTATTTTTTTTTTCTCAGCCTCAGTGCCTAAAGAGGCTTTGGATAATCTTCAGTTGGCCTTGTCAATGCCCTACAAGGCTCCACCTCTAGGCAGAGTTAACTATTATTATTATTATTTTTTTTTTTTTTTCCTCATTCTGTAGGGGCTCAAGTGAGGGGAGTGAATTCATTTTTCTCTCAGTTCAAATTCAATGTCATGTTGCTGCATCCTTAATTGGACTGAGGTTTGCATTCTCCTTGGGGGGAGCTCCACTGTAATAACTGCAACCAGAGATGGTCCTGGTAAACCTCCCGAGATGCGTAAGCCTGTTTTTCGCAGTCATTAAGCGCCAGCAACAATGTCGCACGTGAAGGTAAAACAATGCAGGAAGGGGATGGGAAGTGAGAGCGTGTGCACACGCCTGAGCACGGTCTTCCCTTCTCCCATCGGCAGGCCCTGTGCTAAGCAGCAATGGACTGCTTTCCAGGCCTTCCAAGGTGACCAGCCTGGAAAGTAATCAAATAGTTAGTGTTTTCCTTTTCTTGATCTTCTCCCAAGCATGTGTTTGCATGTGGGAAGAGAGAAGCCCTTGTTAACAGGAAAGGCTTCAATGGCTGTAAGCAGTAATGATCCTTAAGAAGGGCACGTCTGGATGCATGCATTTTAGCAGACCCAACAGGTCATTGCTGTTGAAAACCACGCAGAGCAGATGCTTTCTGGGCAAAAGCACATATGCAAGAGGTGCAGCCACAAGTGCCAGCGCAGAAGGGAAGTATTAGTGTTATACCCAGGGGAAGGCAGGGCCTTTGAACTTCCTCCATGAGTCTGGTTTAAAGCTTACAGACTTTCTTCCCTAACAATGTCCTGTAGCACCTGCTCCTAGCCTTTAAATGGCAAAGCCTGACCTCTGCCCCAGTGAATGGAAAAGCTGAGCCCATTGCTCCTGCTCACATCATAGTATATGTACCTATCTACCTACTTCCATCATCCCATCCGCCAGGGCTGTGGCCTTCTCGAGGCTCATGGGCAGAAACCTTCCCCACACCAAGTCTGAGCACCTTGTTTTATTACAAAGAGAAGTTTCCAAAGAATCTGCCATTTCCACCAAACAGCAGGGAAGGGACCCACAATGCCACCATGCCATAAAAAAAGCAGATCACAAAGGATTTGGGGTTGAGGCAACATGACACAACCCTCAGATTTCTAGGCTTGGAAGTAATGACCCTAAATGGTTTTAGTGAATATTTTAGCTCCTGGGGTCTGTGGGGTGTGCGCGCATGGTTGGTGGGCTTGTTTGTTTTGTGTGGTTTGTTTGGTTTTTTTGTTGGGGTTTGGTTTTTTTTGCTTTGGAAAAAGAATGAAATAAAGCATAGGCCACACTGCGCGTGCTCACCAATCCTGGCAGCCAGAGCCAAGCCATGCCCAGCACTTGATACCAAGTGCTAAGGAGCCCAGCTGCTTTCCAGTGTTGTGACATGGGGCCCTCCCCTCATGAAGCCATCTCCTTCCTCAAAACGCAAACCCTTCTCTCTCTCTCTCTCTCTCTCTCTCTCCACTGATACATGTCACCTGCAGCTTCCCCATCACTTCTGCGTGTGTTTCTGGCAGCTATTCACAGTTTGTAAAGGAAAAAAAAGTTGTTTTTTTTTGTTTTTTTTAAATCTCTCTCTCAGTAGCATGTAGCCCAGCTACATTCTTAAAGGTTCTGTTCTGAAGCCACTTGTTCAGAAAATACACTGGAACATCCACAGTGTCAGTGCTTCTCTGCTCTTGTGGGCAAGCCATTTGTTAAATGCACTGGAGTACGCGTGCAACTTGTTAAATCTCTAGCTACAGGAAAACAAAGCCCAACTGTTCATGGCAATGAGTCCTCCAGGAGGATGTCTGTTGGAGCCAAGGAGCTCAATGGCTGGCTTGTTCCTATCCAAGTGATCAGCTGGCTGTTAACGAGGATTGCAGACTCCCCTTTGAAACCTGCCTTTGGCGAGGTAGTAGTTTTGCTTTTAATTTGGCAGTCAAAGTTTGGTGCCATCAGCAAAGGCTAGAGCCAGGGAGAAAGGTTCAAGGTTAGTTTGGTTTTTCTGGGAGGTGAGTGTGGGCTTTGGATATGTATATCTGTGTAAAAGGGGAGCCCAGGATGAATGCTGGGATGCGTGTGGTCCTTCCCCCACCTGGCAAGAAGGGGCCAAGAGGCCTGGAGCTCCTGGTGATTCCCTTTGCAGCTAGATGGGCTGAAGGGATAATAGGACCCTGCGTGAGGATGAAACTCTGCCCTTATGTAAATCCAGAGTAACTAGAGAAAAGCTGCATTGAGGTGAAGGTGTTAATCCAGCATCATACCTGTGTAACTCCAGCAATGCTGTGGTTTAAGGCAGAACAGAATATCCCGTTTCCTCTTTGCTTAGGAGGCCAAAAATGTGTTGATCAGGCCTGTATCAACCTTGTAGCACCCACCCTAGATTAGGTGGAACTCTAAATACCCACTTGATGTTCAGAGGTCAGCTCAATTCTGTTCTGTGACAATAGTGTGAATGTGAAATAAGTCCAGTTAAAGTCAATGGCATTACTCTGGATCTGCCCTGAGAACAGAATTTGGTTGGAGTGGGGGGGAGGGAGTGGTGTGTGAGCCTGCACACATAGGGAAGATGTAATAAAGGGAAGGATAATTTTCCCTTTGACCCAGTCGTCTGTATTTTCCTACTGTGGGTAAATGACTCCTGTCACCACAGGGGTGAAAGGCAGCTATTTAGGGAAGATTTGTCAATTCCGCTGTAAACTCCAGGTCAGTGTGTGCAGAAACATCTGGGAAATGTGGGGAAGTGGGAACAGCTGCACTGGTTTGTCCTTTTGTGATGCTGCCTAATGTACAATGCAATCCCTCCAGCTAGATAACAGCCACTTCTGTTAGGGGTAAAGTGCTTTCACATGTCTTGACTACTTAGGAAGCAATCACATTGCCCAGTCCATGGGTTCCCCATATCGCACAAGTCTCAGATGAAGGAGTGGTTCTGTTTAAACGTACAGTACAAAAATAAAAGGCACAAAATACACCTAATGCAGCAGAGAGTGTACAGTAAATAGATTCCCTGGTATTTAAAGTACACAGATGTCAGAGGGACATTGTGAATGGGAGCCCTGATGGCCCTTGATATCTCTGTTCATTGCTTCCTGCAGCTGCCCCACTGCTCATGTCCATCATTACCACTTCCATAACTCTGTTGCTAGTCCACAAGGCATTTCTCTCTAGAAACAGGAACACAGGAAACCAATGGCTGCTTGGAAGCAGGTAGTCAGTTCACTGCGAGCATCACCTCTCCATTTCTGGCTTGAAAGAGCAAATAAATTATGGGTCCCAGGCAGTGCAGATAATGAAAGGGATTCTGAGCTCTTTGAAAAGCTGTAGGCAGTGTCTCCTTCCTCGCCAGCCCATCTCACAGGTGTGTGCGCCTGCCACTGGCTGGGGTTCAGAATGACCACAAATGACACAACCAAATATGTATCTATCTAAATATAGAGATGTCACTGAAAGGCATGTTCCTTAGCAAAGACAGTGCACTGGAGAAAAGGTCACTTCCAGGAGCAGGTCTGGTCCCGCACGCCAGCTAAGCCTCGCTGCAGCACTCGTAAATGTTGTCCTCCATAAGTGCAATCACTTGCTCGAACTTGTGCTGTAGCTGTGTGCGCTTCGTCGTGGGGTTGGAGTCCAGGGCATTCACAATCTGCAAGGGCAGGAGTACCAAGAAATTCATTCTCTGTCTCTTGGGTCCCTAGTCCTTGCTGCTCCCCCTCCAGCTCCGTACGAATCCCACTGACCCCTGCCAACTTCAGTGTGGGGCACGAGCAGAAGCGCAGGTCCCTCACAAGCAAACTGAGGTGCTCTGTCTCTGGCAGGTTTCATCCCTACTGGATGCAAATGTGAACCCTGCAGGGCCAGCCCTCTGTCAAACAAACAGGCCTTGTTATGACCACTTAGGCCTGGCCTTTATGTCCACATCCAGTGTTTGCAGCACGAAGGCACCTATGTGTCTGGCTCCTGGTCTGTGGATGCAGTCAGGCAGACACCCCCACACCTGCACTTACAGCCACCACGATTTGCAAGCTAATTTGCAGGCCTGGAAAAATGAGGCTGAGTGTCAGTGGTAGTGTCCTCAACCTGCTGATGATCTGACAAAAGACATGAAATACTGGGTTTCCCATGGAAACTGTAAATAGCTGTATGTTGGGGAGACAACTGAGGGGGCCAGAGCAGGGGGAGAAATACAGTTTAGGAAAATATGGCCAGCCTGAACCCTGAGCTCAGGGTGCTCTGTAACTGAGGTGGTGTCTTCCTGGGGACACTTCTCCAGGGGCTGAGGAGACACAGAACCAATCACCCACAAAAGGTATTTTCCCCAGACACAGCAGGTATGGAGCACTGCTTTCCCTTAACAACCAAAGCCGCTCACCTGAGGACGGTATCTCTTGGCGTACTTGTAGATTTCTGCCATGGCGACGTTTGTGTTAAACTCATTCCGGTATTTCTTCATGAAAAGAGACAAATAGGAAGAGTATTAGCATGTCACAAGTGGTGAAATGCAGCCCAGTCAGCTGGGCTAATCAATGGGGCAGGTCTGCCTTTGCTCTAAGTTCACCTTGTTTCAACATGGCTTTCTCCCTTCTTTGCTGTTCAAGGTATGTTAATACTTGTCTGGGGACTTGGTGCCAACGTGCATTCCAGGCACAAATAGGTGCCATCAATGGGAATTGCATTTGTTTATGCCAGCGGTGAATTTGGCCTGCAGTATCTCTGTGTAGCATCACTAATTCCTTGATCTCAAGGTGCTCCACAGTGGCGAGCAAGCACCAGAGCTGATCAGAAATGCCCAGACCACGTATTTTCTGTTGGAATTGGCCAATTGTGGAAGTTGAAATGTTTTATACAGATGGTCTGATGTTGACACAGCTCCCACAGAACCCAACCATAGTTTGCCAGCTGCAGAGGCTGCTGCCTGCTCACTAAGTGTGGCTCTCTGCTAACCCATCTGGTGTGCTGTGGCGGAGTCTAGGCTTCTGGGGTCCATGGCAGCCCACCAGAGGGATGGCTTTGAAGTTAGGATTGGCAGATGCTGGGCACACCAAAAACCAAGGAGAGCCAATACTTCCAAGCTCCCAGCTTCCAGGCTCTTTGGCACTGAGCTCCATGCTGCTGCCACTGGACCACAACCAGTGCCCAAGCTAGGTAATGTTAGCTTGGGTACATCCACATCCCACGGCAGTCTGAGCATTAACTACAGTGCACACGTAGTCTAAGCTGGGTTAGCTGATGTGGCTGTAGGTTATAGACCCAATGTAAGAGATGGTTCCTTTAAAGATTTTACCTTCACCATTTAGCACAGGTGAGGTTCAGTACTGTAGCACCTGCTGTAGTCCCTAACTTCCAGCACTGCAGAGCTGATCACTGCACGCCTTGTCCACAGGCTCCCAATTCAGCAATCGGGACAGGAGTACTCGGCAGCATGGAGAACCTCCTGTAGTGAAGTCTGTTTGGCACCACTGGGTGTGGGACTGGGCATCCCCTAGCTCTGCCACAGCTTGACATGTTTCTTACCCGAGACTCCTCGGCCAGGTGTGCATTCATTTCCTGCTCGCTGAGGGGCGGCATGTCATGGATCTGCTTGTAATACCGCTGCACTATCTTCCTGTACTCCGGAATCTCCTTGGCATACAGTAGTTTATTGGTAGGTGAGTCCTAGAGGGAGAGAAAGATTTGATTTTGTGCTGGCTCCAAGACTGAAAGTTTTCTGCACGGCTCTTGCCTTGAAACAAAATCTTCATCTACATCCACATTCAGGAAACAGATCAATTTGGGGAGGTGGGGGGCTGATTTTAAACAATGGTATGGAGAGTTCTTAATTGCGTGACTAATCTGCATGTACAACTGCTGACACTGGGCCTGTCAATCAGGGTACTCTTTACATTTATACACACGCAAGGTCCAGCTTGTTCAAAAAATCAGCATCCCCTTGGTGAGAGAGGCTCCACTTTTGAGGGTAAAATACTGACTCAGGTTTTAATAGAATTGATTTAATTTATTTTTAATTTGTTAATAATTATACGACTGTCTTATCGTGTGTGGGTGTGCAAATTAGTAGAGGGAAAGTAGCAACTGCATGTGAAGCATGTCTATTTTGGCAATACCATCTTAGCCTTGCTAGTGAGCCATCAGAATCGGTGCAGTCCTTTCATAGCCCCCTTCATACAGATGCCTGAGTAAACTGGTGCCTGTCCCAACCTCTGACACTTAAGTGTAAGCACACTCTGGGAGAGGTACCAGCTGATCACCTAGCCCAGGGAAAAGACAGGTCCCTGAATTGCACCTTGCAGTGACTTGGCGGCCTATGGGGCACTGCTGTAATATGCTACAAGGCACCCCTTACGTTCACAGCATTTAACACCCACTATCAAATTTCGATCTCATATGAGTGCACTGCAGAAATTCAGTCTATTCATATTCCTTGTGAATATCATTTCCTTTGCAAAGAAACCAACCCCAACCTGTTTGTGCTGTTCCTCAGTTTCTGCATATAGAAAGCGTCCTTTCAGTGGGAAACTGGAACAAGGAGTATGTATCCCAGTTCATTATATGCACCATACAGAAGACCTGAGTCTGATCTCACACTAGTTCAGTCCAAGGCTAATAGCTCATTGGGCTAGTGTGGGTAAAGCACACCAGTTTTTAGCCAATGGTACACAAGGGAGTGATGTGACCATCATCACATCTAGCTGCCTTTGCTTTCTCAGCCTGAATGACCAAATACCCCATTACAAGTGGTTCAGATAGGTGCAGTCCTTGGCTTGGGACTAGACTAAGGCTTGGACTTGTGCCTCCAGCGCTGTAGTGAGACACCTTAGCTGCCCTGCCACCACACCCCGCACTCTAGTTAATGATGGGAGCAGCTCCACAGGCAGCTGTGAAACTGCATCGGGGTCCAGCTGGTGTCAGTGAGTTGGGCCCGTGATGGCTTAGGTGACATGTTGTATAGTCAGGACACCTCATTTTTATTCTTATTGAGTAAATGAGAGCTTTATTCTTCCCACATTACTCAACAATCCCCAAACTCCAGTTATTGTTCTGAAGAGATTTCCATCTGCTGCCTGACCCTGCCCGACCTCTCTCTGAATCGACAGCTTGACAAGGACAAATGGTAGGTGTTTTGTAAGCGGCTGAAAAACGTTCACAAACCCAAACAAACAAAAATCAAGGGCTCATTAGATCTTCCTCCAGTATTAATCTCTCCTGGTAAAGATTTCCTGGTGCTTTCAATTTAGGTGGAATGTGCTGCTCTGGCACCCAGCACGGAGGGGCTGCCTCTGCATCACAAGCTGAACACGTGCCAGCATTGAACAGCAGTGAATTAGACCTGTGCTCATAAAACTTATTTATGTCGGGAAGTTTCATATGTCAACACTGAACCATAGAGAGAGCAACCTCTCTTTCACCCGCCCCCCACCCCAACTTTTGGCTTGCTCAGATACAGACCTTGGATCTGATCTCAGGCTGGGGTAAAATAAGAGTTATACTGAGGAAAAAGCTGGTGTAAGTGAGACAAGAACCAAGCCCTAACTCTCTAGACTGTTGCACGCTTGAAGTCCATTACTTCCAGGCTTTCACTTAAACTGTTCACATGGTAAAGGGTGGGGGGTTTCAGGCCAGTAGAAGTCAAGCCACTTAACAGGTCCAAAATCCCAATGGTGATTGAAGTAAAGGAATAAAAATTGTGCAAAAGGAAGCCTCAGCAACATACAATCTTGGGGGGGAACTGACATCTCAGCCTGGAGCCTGGCCTCTCTAAACCAGTGTGCATCAGGAGCAGCTTCTCTAAAAGCAGGGGTGCTACATTAGGGTAAAACCAGCACCATCAAGCAGAACCAGGTACACAGGGTCTGCAGATGAAGTTAAACTGTGTCTGTACTAGAAGAGTTTGCCAGCAGACCTCTAGCAACGTATGGTGTGGTCTACATTGGGCCCTTTCCTAGCATGGCTATGTTGACTGGCTAGCAAAAATTTTTCAGTGTAAACCAGGCCCTATTGAGACCAATGCACACCAGGCCCAACTTTCTAAGTGTAGACCAGCTCTAAAGAGGCCTGATTGCACACCAGCTGCCAGCACTCTTTAATGATTTTAATTCTCATCTCACTTCCGACAAATCCAGAGTCACTTGGCTGAAGTCACTGAAGTGAAACTGGGGTGAATGAAACATCCAGTGATGATGACAGTTTTACTTGCTGCACCACTGCAGCTCTCCTGATGCTGAAAGGGGGTGGTCTATCTCAGCAGGAGCTGGGGAGGGGCTCTGCCAATCTGTACCTTGCCCAGCTGCAAGTCAGAAAGAGAACAGGCATCAATGAAGGCCTGGGCAATGACGGAGAGGCAGGCGTCGATATGGTCAGTCTTGTCGATGTCAAAGACAAACTGGGGGTTCTTCAGAATGTTGACCCAGAATCGCAGAGGTAGGCTGCAAAGGGAAGACATCAGAAACACGGGTCAAATGGGCTTCTCCAGGTCACTCCCTCACAACAACAGAATTAGAAACAGCAATGATGGGGAAGCAACAGGGAAAGAAACTGAATAAAAAGTGTGTGTGTGGGGGGGTGGGGAATGACAACAAGACTTCTTATTTAATTGCAGTTTTAACTATGTGCTTTCCTCACCCTGCTGAGCTAGAAATGGGAGGCAGGTATTTTACAGCTAAAGGGAGGTTTCATTTTTAAGCTGAAGAATGAGGATCAGGCATGGTGCGGGCGTAAGCATCCTCCTGACCCAGGTACGACTGGTGCATAACATCATAAATGAATTTGCTTGTCTGTGCAGGGTCCAGGAGGGACTCCCACACATTTCCTTGACTTGTGGTGATAATCCCTGTCCTGAATATATGCTGGTTCTTATGGTTGGGCATGGGACTGGAAGAGTTTGCGATCTTCAGGGGTTGGTCAAGTCTCTCTCTCTCTGTCCCTCTCTATTCTGTCTCCCAGGGTCAGGCCCAGATGGTAACTGCCATGTTGTCCCTTTTAATCACTTTCTCCCTTGTCTTCCTACCATGGGTTTCTGGAAGTCTTATGTGGAATTTACGATAATTCTGACAAACGCCCTGAAAACACAACTTCCCATTAAATGGTTACAAAAGAAGCAGCAGCAATGGCAGCTTCCTTCCCATTGGTCCTTCCCTCACCCAGACGGACCAGTTCCAGCCCTGGAGAGCCTGGGCCTTTCTGCTGAGCTTGCTACTGCCAGTGCCTATAAGAGCAGAGATGGGTGCCCAGAGCAAGTTGTTGGGAGGCCACAAACTTGCCTCACATAGAGGCCAAGCATCTGATGGGAACAGCCATCCACTAACTGGACCCAGATTAGATGTGGTGGCTGGGAGTGAAAGGTTCTGCAGCTTATTAGCAAACATGTCTGTCCTGGCCCCTCAAAAAAATCTAATACTCAAATCTGCATGCACTTATATTAACTCAGAGGTAATTTGCAGGCATTTCCATACTGCTGACTTTCCCAGGCAAAAGACATTTTTTAATTGCCACAAGTTGGGGGTGCTTATTCCCCCTGCAGCTACATCAGGGATAGCTGTTCTTTCCTTTGATGGTGGGCTGAGCCTCTCCTCCAAGTTCATGCACTCTATTCTCCTGAACCTCCTGATTTTTGTGTTTCTCCCCAGTTAAAATATCTGAGCTCCTTCCAGTTTATCCCCTGCTGTCTCTCTCTCTCCCCACCAGGCTCTGTGCTCCTTTTTATGATCTCCAACCCTCCCCTCGGCACTCTGGGCCTCAGCTACTTATCTGCTGGCTGTACCTGTGTTGCCAAATCTTGTGACTTTATAGTGAGTGTTATGATACCGAGAGTTCTTCACACTGCCAACTCTGGGAGTCACATCAGTACAGCTTTCGTGACACGCAGCTTTCTAGTCTTCTTGGTTGCAGAGATAAGACTGAAAATGTCACCCTAAAGGTTCAGAAGCTAGAGGCAACACCTGTCTTACCCTTAGGTTTCCTCCTCATTTTGCTGTCTCTGCCCTAATGAGCACCCTGAGAGGCCCATGTTTGCTACCCAGGTCTCTGTTCTTTCCTGTTTTCCAGCTCCCAGGACAAGCAGATTCAAAGCATGGGGCAGTCTCCTCTTCCAAACCTGTTAGTCTTCCAAATGTGCAAAGTATCAGGGTCTGTGATTCCCCTTTTCTCTGCTTGCTCTTCCAGGAAGTCGAAGAAATACTTGATGGCCACAGGTGGCTTGTCTTCTCGGATGCTGAGAATGGCTTTGAATAAGTCATCCAGAAATTTCTGCAGGGTGCCCTGTGGGATAAACACACACAGAGTACTGAGCAGGGAAGGGGAAAGCAGTGACAACTGAAACCAAGTTACAACTCCCTGAGGACTGGTTTTATTCTTCACAAGTAGGAGACCCTTAGCTGCCAGCTTAGTAAGTTCAGGGAGGAAGGAGTTGCAGAAGTGGAGAGGGAAAGGTTTGTTTGTGCACGGTGATATAATTAACTTTAGTTTGGATCTAATGTCTTTTGGCATTGAGGTTCCCTTTCTCTGCTGCTGGGATCTCACACATCTGTGATGGTTCGGCACAGTAAACAGAAGAGAATACTGGAAACTGCTGGCCATTCTTATGATCTGTGCTCCAGTTAAACATGCTGGGATTGAGGATGGGTGCCAAGCCCTGGATGTGAACAGCCTCAGAGCACAGGGAAGTCCAAATCTGAATCCAGATCAAACAAGTTCTCCTCTTCCTCCTGAATCGAACACTCCCAAGCTTGGGGGCCAGATCTGAATGCTGGGTTTTGACTCTCCAAGGTGTCAGAGCCCCTTCCCGGAGTGCACAGTCAGGTGAGACAAATTCTGTTGGTTGAAAGTGGTCAGAAAGTCAGAGAACCAGAAGGTTCCCATCTCCTCCACAGTATGGGACACTTGAGGACCCATCTCTACTCAGGCCAGAAACTTGATCTTGCTTAAAATAACACCTCACTTATCAGGACAGATTACAAACAGCACTTCTGCTTCCCATTACTTGGAACTCACACAACCCCAGTTTCTCTTACCTTTGTAGAAAGCAACCGGGTCAGATAGATCTCTGGTAGGACTTTTTTTCTATGGCTCTGCCTATGAGACTTCTTATGTTCAGTAGATTCATCACTCGGAAGAACCTAGTTCAATGCAAAAAAATATACTTGTGATTCCTGCCTTTGGAGCATCTTGCACTGAGAGCTCTTACCAAATAAACTTGTTTAAAGAAATGCTGGGCCTAAAATATTCATCACTATCATAGCTTTTAGCTGAGTGTATGGATTGTTAGCAGGGAAAGAACTAAAGTGCAAAAAATATTTTCTGATTCCCATATGCCTCCTTGTTCCTTAGCCTCTGGCTTCTTTATTTTTCATTCCATCCAGGAAGAGCACACACCAACTGTCAACTATTTAAATTAGTCTAATAAAATATATCAGATTCACCCAAAGAACCTTGTCTGTCCTTGTTCCTTACAACTTTTAACAACACAAAGTGCCTTTACAGTGCTATGCAAATGTTAACTAAGCAATTCTCACCCCCTCTGAGGGGCAGGGAAATAGTATTACTGGTACTGTGATGTACGCATGGAGAATTTCAGTGGCAGAGCTGGAGTTCAGAGTCAGGCATTTCTGGCTTCTAGCTTCATGCTCAGTCCACTGGACCGTGCTGTTTTTCTGAACGCTCTGTTTCTCCAAGGCAGCTAGCATAGGCCACTGGCAATCACTGCTCTTTGCTGTCATCTCAGCAGCCTTGTAAGATGCATACTGTCAATTCCTTTCTCCATGTAGGGGCTCAACCATGCCTTTGGACCCTCTGAGGGGCAGTGGCAAGTGAACATGGAAGGAAGGGAGCCATCAGCCATTATCACACAGTGCTCCAGCCCCATAGTGCTGGCATCACCAAGAAAGAAGATTTTCTCCTCTTCTGTCATATAAGCTGAAATAACAAGAGGCCAAGAGCTGAAATGGAGGGCACCAGTGACATATTCATAACACTGAATATCATTCCTCCCTCCTGTTGGTTTTACACCATCGACTTCAATGCAATTACTTCTAATTGACATCAGTCTAAGGCTTTGAATCAAGGCTATGTGAACCTGCCTACCCCCACTTTGGGCCAGATTGTCAGTGGGTAGAAATTGCTGTGGCTCCATTGCAGGGAAGGAGGCTACGCTTATTGAGGCCAGCTGAAAACTAGGCCCTTTGTCTCTTGCTAAAATAAGTCACAATCAAGCGAGAGAATGGTCAGGCTGGACCTCTTTGTGCCAGGGACTGAGTACTTTGCAGAGATCAAGTTTATATTTTTGCAGTGAATTCAATTTTCTGAAGCATAACCACTGCCTCCCCATATCTGTGCATTGGCAGCCATTGTAAAGGTGAAATATGTAGAAATATGTATGAGATGATGATCAAGATTAAGAAAAAACCTCAGCTCTCCCTCTCTCTGCCAAAAGTAACGTGTGTTCAATTATTATCTCAATACCCAAACAATGCAGTAACCACAAAGGTCTCAGCCACCTCCCCCCTGGGCAGGCCTGATCCCAAGCCAGCATGCTGGCAGGTTGACAAATGCATCTGCTCGAGCGTCCTGTACATATGGAAAACATTCCTACCCTTGCCTGTGACAATAAACTATACACAGCATTTCTGCTCTTTGATTGTATGTTCATCCACTGCTGCAAGGAAGGTTCGTTCCATAACTGTGCACTAAAAGTTCCACTTAGCCACAGCCTCCTCCCCTCCCACCACACTCCCCTCATTAAGCAATTATTTTTACAGCCGCAAGAAAGGGCTTGGTGAAACGTTGTTCTTGGGATTTGTGACTGCCTTCTCCCTTCTTTATTTGTACCTCGTCAGTCAGGCAGTTTCCTGGTGAGAGGGTCTTGAATCCAAGCAGACACTCCCCACAGAGGACATGCAGGAGGGAGGGAGGGATGGCAGAAGTGACCTCTAAGAAAAACACCTTGGGCCACACACAGTGGGAGAGCCATTACCCCTAACCATGCTGGGAATGGGATACTTACCAAGTGGAAGTATTTCTCAGTATCCAAATCCTTCACTGCAAAGAAGAGAAAGAGACTCAATGTTTTAGTTTGCTAGAGCGTTAGCCACTGAAAAGCCCAGGGGCTTGTGAGGAGAAAAGCAGATGCTGTGCTTAGTGCTTTGGGACCACGGGAGGGTGGCTAATCCTGACAATATTGCGAGGGAATTGTGTCCATTTTACAGACGGGGAGCTGAGGCGAGTGACATGCCCAAAGACCATGTAAGTCACGATTAGATCCCAGGAGTTTCTGGCATCCAGGCCAGAGCTCAGCTCACTCAAATAGACCTCATTATGCTTGTCCTTGGCTGTACTTCAGCATTAATCATTGCCGGACTGCACCTCATTACAAACTGACTCAGATTTCAGAGACGGCCTCTTATCACCTCATCTTGGAAAGGGAACTGATTTCTCTGTGTTGCCTAGTTCAGGCTGCCAAAGGCTGTTGTAACTGTTTGTTTGCAGGCAAGGGCTGCTGCTTTCAGAAGCTTCATAGTTGGTAGGGTCGGAAGAGACCTGAGCAGATCATCAAGTCCAACCCCCTGCCATGGCAGGAAAGAGCACAGGGGTCAAACGACCCTGGCAAGGTGTCTATCTAGCCTCCTTTTAAAGACCCCCAAGGTAGGAGACAGCACCACTTCCCTTGGAAGTTGGTTCCAGACCCTAGCTGCCTTGACTGTGAAGTAGCGCCTCCTTATGTCTAGCCTGAGCTAATGGTCAGTAGCTACAAGGAGAGACCCAATAAGACACACATCCTGCCAGGGTTCATTTGCTCTGTAGGTTCTACCTCCTTTAGCCTCCGAGTATGTCCTTCAAGGAGGGGCCTGCAGCGACCTCTCTCCCTGTGCCAGACCCCCTGCTTCAGCCACTCTCAGCCCCAGCTCACAGGAGAAGGCTAGGGCTTGGACTCTTCCGTGTCCTTCCCACTCTAGCCCATACAGTCTGCCTCCCTGCCCCAAGCTTTGCAGTGACCTTCTTGCAGCTTAAAAGTGCTCTGCAGAGGCAAATGACACTGGGCCTGTGTCCTTCTTCATCTCTGAGTGTGAAGAAGACCTAAACAATGATGGAGGGGTGCTTTAATTGTTTCTTCATATCAACTTCTTGTCTACCCTGGCTTTAGTGACAAAGAGTTGGAGGTTCACAGGTGTTTGGACCTGGCTAAATGAGAAAGGAAGGGATCTGTAATCAGGTGGCTTCAGACTCCTTTTCAGTGTTGTTTTCACTGTCATGTGTTTAGTGACAACCTCGCTAGCAAACACCTGGGAGAAAAGCATTCTCTGTGAAAGATTCAAATAGTTTCACACTGAAGTTTGGGGGAATCACAACCCTGTTCCCTCAAGCAGTCTACAGTACAGAGGAGAGGAAACTCGATGATTCAGATATTTCTAAAGTAAAAGCTCCTAAGACTAACCCTCCTTGCTCCTCCACCCACACTGTTCAACAATAAACACCTTGCAGGCGTCCTCTACACCTCTGGGAGAAGCAAAAGCGGGTCACAAGAACCAATGGGTTTTATTTTTGCAAGCAATTTGCAAAATCCTTCAAAAGCTGGAACCAGAAGTTTGGAAGCATCCTGCTTGTCAGGATGTCAAAGGGATTCACACATGGCTCAACCACTGAAATGTCCATCTGCCCATTGGAAACCACTCATCTGGCTAACAGCTCCTCTGCCCCAAGCCTCATGTGAAATACCAGCAGAGACCTGGAACCAGGACAGTTTCTTGACTCAAGGGCAGCCATGCAAGTATGAGGTAAGACATGTGGGCCTAGTCAGCAGCACTGACAGCAATGACCTTATGCCACCCAGCCTGGTAACCAAATGACTGGATTCAGGGCAGCTTCCAGACCTGGGGCTCCTCCACACAGCCCTGCCAAAATCCTGCCATGGCACTTCTCCCAGAGACTTGGATTCCCCTGGTTTTTTCAGTCTCTTGGCTGCTGTTCAGAGAAAGCCATGGGTTGCCACCAACAGAGCTCTGAGTGTCCCTGCTCTGTCCTTCTGTCTCTCTGGCTGTCACTCCTCCCCAAGGCTGCTGCGCAGTCTGTATGTGTATGGCAAGATTTTATCACAGGAGGTCCTATAGCTTCAGTGTCCTGTGGCCAGTTCATGTCACCCAGGGCGCTCTGCCTCTCGGGAACAAGGAATCCAATGGGAAGGAGGGGGTGTACGAGAGCTGATTGTCTGTTGTTTCCACAGGGCTGAGTGCCTCTTTGCTGATGGTCTAATCAGGCTAATCATAGGCCCCAGTGGGCGAACAGTGCCAGCTGGAAGAACATGGAGGCCCTCGTGGGGCTGGGCGGGTTCCCGAGGATGGAGGCAGTGATCTGTTCCTTTGTCACAGGCTGGCTCAGAAGTGGGTGCTGTGCCAGGCACAGCTGAGAGCACAAATTGAATCCTGAGGCCAAATGCAGGGGGGCCCTTCCCCAGTCTTAATTGTACTGAGTTTTGCCTCCGGCCTTGGCTGCCAACGAGGGTCACAAGGCATGAGTCTGCCACATGGTGCAGCCCTGAGCAAGAGAAACAGGCAGCTGAAACTGAAGGCAGCCAGGCATTGCTAGAATGTGTGCCCCGTCTCCCAGGCTGATGGTGCCTGGCTTGTGTGTTAGCCGCCCGTCCAGGCAGACAGGAGGGCAGGTCAGGCTGATTGTCACTGCTGCCTGAACGGCTGCGAACAAACGTTCAGAGGATGCCACCACGGGGGCGATGATACTCGCAGGACCACAGCCAGCACAGAAAGGGTTAACCCCACACCGTGCAGCCAGAGGTGAGAGAGGTCCAGACAGGCACAGCTCCCGAACCCCAACAGGAATCCCACTTCCCACCTCTAAAAACAAACGTCTTGACATCACAGCCAGGGAAAGTGCGAGGAAAGCTGCTTACCTCTGCTTAGCGTGGAGTCCTTCTTATCTGATAAACTCATTGCCAGGGAGGCACCTTCAGGGATCTGCAAAGGAAAGGATCGGCCCAGATGAGGCAGAGGCCATTAAACAAGGGTCAGGCTCATAGGTGAGAGAGGGCTCTGTGGGGCGGATGTGTGTGTATATGGGAGGGGCAGCATCCTCCTAATGATGCAGTCACGTCTGGGCTGCTGCAGTCGAAGTGACAATACTAGCTCATGGGAGCAAGAACCCTGACCTTAGGAGCTAATGACAGAGGGTGAGAAGCACCATTCATTTCCTCTGACCTACCAAGAGGATGGAGGGCAGACTGGAATCAAGTTGTGCCATCGAGATCTGAATGCTGTCATCAAGATTAGAACTGTATTTTGTGCCAGGGCCTCTGATAAGGGACCACTGTCCATTTTACATCAAGAACAGTCCAGGCATTAAGACCTGGGCTCCCCATTCAGTTCCCTGCTCTACCACAAGCTGCCTCCGTGACCATGGGCACATCACTTAAGTTTGCTGAGCTACTCCCAAGGATAGCAGCTTTTTCCTGCCTCAGACTGGTATTGCGAGGATAAAGGCATTACAGATGGTCTGGTCATAGGCTCAGGCACAGGAGCCAGACAGGTCCCTGAGATAGATACATGCCCAGGAGGCAGCAAAAAACGCAACTGAAAAGAAGATGGCATCACACCTCTTAGAAGCCATTTGTTTACTTCGTGCCTTACTCCAAAGGGAAAATGAAGCTAATGTGAGACTGTGAAGTGTTTAGAGCAGGGACCCCAGCACAACAGAAGCCTCGTCTGGGACTGGGATGCCCCCACACTCTTGTCACACAAACAACAGCACGAATACAACCGGTTGGTTTAATTCCTGGTTTTCCACCCACTGGTACGTTGTGATGGGAAGCACGTTCCCAGCACAACGGGGGAATGTGGAACTGAACAAGCAAATAAACCCTTCTGGTTTTGTTTAATTCTGAATGTTGGAAACGGTCAGGAAAGCACTCCTATCCTGAGTGGAGAAACTTCGCTTGTCTGACAGGGAAACTTTTCAGCGCGCCCACAGCCTCACCCAGCCCAGCCCTCAGGACCCTCACGGGCAACTCTGCCAGCAATTTCTGCAGGAATGGGGATCAGAAGCGGTGTGATGTTTATCAGTGTGGATGGTGGCCATTGGGAATAGAAGCCTTTTCTGTTGTCAGTCATAACTTGTTTTGCATGAAGAGCATTTAATTAGCTCCAATGTGTTGCAATATTAACGAGTTTCTCGCCAGGGCAGATGTCTGTTCCCCGGAAGCTCTCATGGAACTATGGCAACTTTCCTGCTTGTTTCTGCTAATCCTCCTTGGAAGGGGAGTCGCAGCTCCTCCCGGAGGACAGAGGCGCTCCAAGGAAGGGAAGTTCCCTGAGCGCTTGCTGGTTTACCTTGTAATGTGCCAGCGTGTTGAGTTTCTTCCTGCCATCCTCCACCACGGACGTGTCATCCAGGTCCCGCAGGATGTAGCTGTCAGTGCTCGAGGCAAACCATTCTAAATGCAGAGACAGGACAGCATGAGAAGCCAGCTGGAGGGGAGCACAGGCAGCTGGGACTGGGGGATGCAAACTGCTTCTAATATGGAGATGCCACACTCACTGCAGAGCACTCGGGCTTCAGGCTCAAACTTCAGGTCTCAGGAGGGCTTTGCTCTGCCATGCAGCTGCAAGGCAGATGCTGCTCAAAAGCCTGAGGCAGGAAACCTTTCAGGAGTAACCAGGGAAGTGCCATGGGCAACTTCCCAGCTGGGGCCCAAAATGGTGTGTGGGGCTGAGCCCACATCAGGTGGTATAGTGTTCAGGAGGGGCAGAGGGCTTCACATGAGGAGACATGGCAAGTGCACACCCCTGAGGCCTCATCCTGCATGAGTCCCAGCACTGCAGTCTGACCCCCGTGTCCACACTCAAGGTGGGGTACCACAGAGTGGGCAGGGAGTGGGGATGACTGCATGTGGGCTTCATTGTACTAGGCTTCAAATGCTAGTGCACATCCGCCATTTGGGGAGAAGCAGAGCCTAGCAGAGGAGCTGGAGATGCACCAGCACCACCTCGGCTCAGCTGCCCACCTGTTGACCACACAAGCGCTGAGCACCCAGCATCTGGCCAGGATGGAGCGCACCCCTTGTGGCTACCTGTGACACTGGCTTCCAATGGCCTTGTCATTCCCCCTCCTCCAGGCACTTGCTCAGTGGCCACAGTCACCTTTCCAAGTCATTTGGAATAGGGCCCAAGGTAAGGCCAGCTGCTGGGCAACTCACAGAGCACAACTGTTTCTCAGCTTTCCCTTTCTGCCCTGGGTATGGTTAAGGTGCAGATAACTCTTGACTCTTGGGAACAAGCGAAGGTCCACTGGGGCGGTAAATGAAACATCTGAACCTCTAAGGTGATATCCGTTACCCATCTGTATGTGGGTACCAGTGGCTGCAACTGAGAGGAAGGGATCTACAAAGGGGTAATATTCTGAGGGGACAGATAAGTTGAGTACTGTACAGGATTTCATAAGGTGCAGGTTAAAGGGGCCTTGGCTTTCCTAAGCTTTTGTCCCAATTACTTGATGTGTAAGTAGCAGTGATTCCTCGCACCTTAGCTGACAGCACCTCATGTGTCAGGAGGTAGGAGGTGGCCACACAGCTTGTTCCTGGGAATCACATTGCCTCAGGAGCAGGTGCAGTCTCCTCCAGGTCTGCCCCAATGGTGCTACACCCAGCTGTCTCATATGGATGCCAAGGGCTGACAGCTGCTCCTTGGTGTCACTGGGCACTGTAGTGTATACAGCAACTCCTCCAGCCTGAAAACAGGGTCTGGTGTATTCAAGTGGAAAGAGATCCTTACCCAGGTCGACGTCTTCTACCCTCGGCCACTGGGAGTACGGGACATTCTTGCAGAAGGCTTCAAGGATCTTCTCCTTGACTTGACTCAGGGTGTCTGTGTCCATGGCCCGGACACTCAGGGAGTCCATCCCACAGCCTTGGAAAGACACGTTGAGGTTCTGTGGGGAGAGACGGGGTTAGGCTGGAGGCCCTGGGACAGGTCTGCTGGTTAGCAAGGAAGCAGAGGTCAGAGAACTCACACTGGCACGTTCCATGCACTGCGCGTCTGGATCACACTGAACAAAGCATCCATCTGAGTTCCTGTGCTGATTTACAGCCCTGCAGACTGAAGCCTCTATTTATTCCCTTCAATTATTCAGTCAGGAGAGCAGGGGGAACAACAGTGCAAGCTTCCCTCATGCTGCCCCAGCTAATGCGCCTTTGCCCTGACCTGCAAGGACCAGGCAAGAGAATTCAGTCTCTGTGGCCTATGTCCTTGGCTTCTCTGCAGAGACAAGGGAGCAGTCAGTGCTCCCTGCTACAGCCTTCCCTGACAGCATGAACAGAATCTCTGTTTCAAAAGCGCTCTGCTGCTTTGGGTCCCAGGTCAGGTTCAGTCCTTGGGTAAGGAAGCACCATGAAATGGGAGGCGATGGCACTGTGCTGTCTTACTCCAGGAATGCAGTGCCCTGAGGTGCATGATGTGAGCTGTATCTACACCCGTGTGACTGCCATGGAGTGTAGTGCAGACACACCTAAGCTGGCTTTGGGGGTTGGATAGGAGTCCTGCTGCAACAGTGGGGAGGAGGAATTGCTGCTGGCTGTAAAACCCGCCTGAATACTCAGGCGATTGGACCACGCTACAGTCATGACAGCGAGCACAGACACTGCAGAATACAAAGCCCTATCAGCCAATCATGGGGCAGGAAAGGTGTCAGTCTCATCAAAAGCCACTTTCTAATTACTACAACCCTAGCCTGTCCCCCAACACCCTGGGTATGAGTCTGAAAGGACCTCAGCCTTAGCTCCTATTTTGTGCCCACAGCTTGGATGCAAATAATTATGGGTGCGATTATGTATGCAATTAATATCATTAAGATGTCGAACTGTCTGATTTGCAGGCACAGTCAGGAAAGCATCTGAATGCCATCATGTTTGCAGGTGTGAAATAAGGGGCACATTCAAGAATTGTGCCTTGAGTTTTCACAGGAGCTCAAAGCAGGTGCCCAGTGCCCTTGGGCTCCTTTGCAGTGTCCCTGGGAAGCAGACTCCTCCAGCGTGCAGGGTGATGAACAGGGTATAAGTGCACAGATAGCATCACATTTTCCTTTAACATTTAATGAAATCTTGTTTTTCTTCTAAAGTGTAATGTGCAGATGGCTTTTAAAGCAGTACTTCAGTTACCAGCAGCCTGGCAGGGGGAAGGGTTGACAATGAGTCTGAACGACTCCTGGTGTCACCCTCCTCCCAGCTGCATAACTTACACTTAGTTTTTATTCCTGTTACTGGCATGTAAAGGGTCAGCAAAACTTCCCCTGCTCAGACATAGGAAGTTACCATCTCTGCTGAGAAAGTTAATACCTAGTGTCCTGCTGCTAACCCCCCTCAGCCTGTGCAGTAAATTACAGGTCAATTGGTTACAGGAATCTGCGGAGACGCAGCTCAGGATAGAAGGCCCGATCTGGCTTTCTGTTACAGTGGTGCACATCTGGAGGAGCCCCATTGTTTTTCGTGGGGTTGCTCTAGATTTATTCTAGCTTAACTGAAACCAGAATTTGGCCAGGCTCTGGAAAGGTCTGTCCGCTGCATGCTCTGTCAGGAACTGACATTAACAAAGTCCCTTCAAGTAGGCATTTTTAATAGTCCTATTACCTGGGGAAGGCAGTTTGTAAGATCACTTTTCAGCACAATTTCTCTAACAAGCCTTTACACCAGGCCTCCAGCTTTACAGCTGGCAACTTCTCACTGGCAGTGAAGCCGCAGATTATTGTTTTTGAACCTTCTCATTGTTGACAAGCAGTCTGCATATCTATTTGTCACCCCCCGCTTGTCTGAGCCACCCAAGAGACAGACTGGATACCTCTCTTGTCTCTTTTTTCTAGGTCATTATAAAGTGAGACACACCACTGCCTATACAGAGCACCTGCACAGCTGTATGTTTACCTGGGACAAATTATTACAATTACACATTCAAAGTGGGTAACTGTATGCAGATGGCAAATCCTTCCTGTGCACAACTGTCCGATCTGATTGCTAGGTGCACACTTACACACACATTTTGTGAGTGCAGATGCACATCTTCACTTTAATACACTAACGTCTGCAGACTGCAATGGCAAACTGATTTTTAAATAGTAGTGAGATACTTGCAGAATCCAGATATAGTATCGCTTGGATTCACTGAGGTATACAAGACTCATTTACCCTTGGCTTCGCCTCAATGTTCTCTCTCAAGAGCCATTCTTCATTGAGGGTATATCTGGCTTTTCCAGTGATGGCATCAATGGAGCCCTTGTTGATTTGCTGTTTGATAGCACAGATCAAGAGGAAAAAGGGCTCCCCAACTGTCTCCTGGAGGGAAAGGAAATAAAGTAAATAAATAAGTGCTGGAAAATCCTTCAGACTGCACGATTCTGTGCACCATAATACTGACCATTTACAGTGTGAGTATGGGACTGATTCAGACCTGGTGCTGAGAAACCTGTGGGAAGTACTCAGTGCTCTCAGCTCCCACCAAATGTCTTGGGAGCTGAAGGCATTCATCATCTCATAAAAACTGCTTGGTACTTCTCAGGGTCAAGCCCTGACAATGCACAACAATAGTATACAACAGTTAGGACAGGAAGTGGGAAAGGGTATCATACCCACGTAAAGTCAGAGCTGGAATTTTAGGGAGGCAAAATGTGATTGCTTAAATCAGGCTGACCCATACAACTGCTGAACAAGGTTACCATGGATGGGCAAGACCCTGCCTTTTGGGTCAGAACCAGATTGCAGTCTTAGGTAAAAGGTAGTGAATTGCACACTACATTCGGCATGACTATATCCCCTCTGGGGTACGGTTCATTATGAGGCTATGCAAAGCCAGCCACAATGAGGCCCCGACTCATCAACAACAATAAGGGCCATCCTCCATACAGCTCACCTCAATGTATTTATACCAGCTTTTCTGATCCACTCATATGCAAAACATCCATTCCAGAGGATGCATTAGAAACATAATGTATTTTCTTAAGAGACTTTTCAGTACTGGAGAACATCCCGTCCTGCCTAATGTTCATGTGTAATTTTCTTCAAATGAGACAAGTGCAAACTATTACACATTTATATTTTTTTCTGAAGCAGACACACACACAGCCTCACACATGCATCCCTGCCATCTGAAACTCTCCCCAAGACAACAGATATCAGATTATTTTGATATTTCTGAACTGGGAGCTGCTAGATCCTGTTCAATCTGCTTCTTAATTAAGACTCAGTGATTCTTCTATTCTAATTGCCTTATAATTGCTAAAGCAATTAGTTTGATGTCAGTTTTGATTCTGCTGTACTCAGTACAGTTGACGTGAAGATGCTACAGTAAGGCTGTAGGTGGGCACATACCATCTGTGCCATGGAGCATATATTTAATTTTCCAAGGGCAACATTTCCTAGGATCAGTGGAGACTTTACTTGGATCTTCTGTGGAAGTTCAGCTTTCTGTCATACTCCTCTGGAACAGAGCAGCATCAGTAATCACAATGGCAGAGCTAACACTGGGTATGGAGGAAGGCATGACTGTGTATTGGATGAGGTTCTTATAGGAATGAGAGATGTCAAAGGTCTGGATTAGAGATGGGAAAATTGAAGGCATTGAGAGGATTTTGGTTCATAGAGAAGGGCAGGAGTCAGGGATATTAAAGCTGAGTCCATACTGCAGTAGGAACATGAAAATACACCTGCTTACATCACGGGAGCGGTTGGATTTTGGGGCTCTTGTAACCAATACCAAACTACCGTTGTTGCTTATCAATCTTCTCGCTGACCTTGTGATGAATCAGGGATTCCTTTGCTAGGGGTGAAACTAAGTGCTACATTCATACCTACCCCCCACCTCCCCTTGCAACTTTGGAAGGAGCTTGTGGGCATTTGGATTCAACCCCTACCCAGTTTAGAAGTGGCTCAGTCTAGATTTGGATTTCTGGTCCAGAGCCTCTCTTTAAACTCCTTACATCATGCAAGTCATGACTGCTTTTCATTGCTCCTGTTTTCAAACTCTTCCAAAACTTCAGCGAGAGATATATAATACCTTAGTCATAAAGTTGCCAGCAAAAATCTACTGTGTGAATTCTGTTGAGAGAGTTTCTATTTAGTCCTTCCATCTAACCTCTATCTTACTTGCTGGCTCTGACCATGTGGCCAACTCTTGAGTATCTAAACATGCCTTTGAGGAAAAAAAGAGCCTAAGAAATAATTGAAATAAGTATTTCAGACCTTAATGCAATGCTAACGATCAAGGTCTAACCATCAGAACTATTGCACAGGAAATAAACTACAATGCTCAGCCTGTTAGATGCTATTTCTGTGTTTGTCTTCTTGGCTTTGAAACCCAGAAGCTGTGAGCTGTTATGGAAATCTGCAAAAGCGTTAATCAGACAGCAAATTTCAAAGGTGGGGAAAGGAGGCTGGGTGGGCAGGGACTGCAGATAAAATGGTTAACTTGGAACCTTACAGTGCTGTTGGGGAAAACGGGCTTGGAAACCAGTCAAGACCATCCTTGGAGTTGGCTATTATGGGAAGGAAGTTTAACTAGCAAAGATCAGTGCTGATTCAGGAGAAAAATGTTTGGGGTTGTTTTTTAAACACATTTTGAAGCCTTTTTCTGCCTATTGTGCATGTTTTTTAATGAGCCTTCTTTATAATTTCTGACTGAAGCATTACAGGCTCTTAGATTTGGCTTGGGCACTAAAATAACTTGCAGTAATGAAAAGCATGGTGCAGGTTGGCATCATTTGAACTGTTCTGCGCATGATATGTGGTGCTGGATTTTTATATGCCAGGATTTAAACAGAGAGTTGGAGAAATAAAAAAAAAAAGATGTAGAGCACAGACTGGATTTGCATGTTACTACTGCATTAATGAGGCTGATGTGTCATTAGAGATCGCCTCCTGGGAGTGTACTAGAGGTATTTCCAAAATGCCTGGGGAAGTCAGGGGAGGGGGCAATGGAAAACTCTTGTTTGTTCCAGAGGCCCAGTGAAAATTAGTTCTCACAGAAGATTCTGGCTAATAGAGAGCTTGCCAAACACTGACAGAAGGGATTGCATATTAGCGATGGCCCCAAAGCCAAGCTGCTGGTCCAAAGACCGCTGTGCTGCTTCAGATCCTGACTTTTGGAATAACTTGCCATTTCTGTAATGGGAAGAACCAAATCCAGATCCATGCCCCCACCCAGGTTCTGGGGCAATTTCCAGATGTAAACACTATATTCCACCTCTAGCTATTCCTTTGCTGTCCATTTTCATTTAATCTCTGAGCTTCCTGGTTCCATCTGGGGTCAGGCACAGAGGAACTAGAGTATCATGTGGCAATGGCTCCTCTTTTGGCATTTCCAGTCTAAGCAGTGGTAGGAGGTAGTGACATGGATAATTTCACCTCAGCTGCCCAGCTCAGGTTTGCAGACTCAGAGATTTCAATCAATTGCATAAGCTTTACAAACTTTTAGGTACTTCTCTGAACCTCCCCCAGCCTCCTGAGGTTTCCCCATCCAACATGTGGAGCACACACAACCAAATCCACTGTTATCATAATGATATCTCCACTGATTCACAAGGTGGTATATGTGTTTAGATCCCTCATAACTGTGACCTGACGGCCTAAATTTTGTAAAGAGTGCTTTCTCCATTTGCAGACAGCTATGAGACCTTTCTTCCCAACAACACAAATGGACGAACTGTTTAGCAGAGCATTAATATAAAACAAATGTTTAAACCATGTAACGTTAACTTACAAGGGAAAATACAAGCCCTTGGAATTTTTCCACTGCAGAACTGAAGGGACCTTTTAGAACAGCTGTTTCAAATAGACATTGTGATTAATGTGGATAATTCAAGAACTAAAACCAGACCCATCGTCACATATGTCTCATGGTCCAGTGCTACAAGAAGGCCAGTAAATTTCTTTACCAAAAACTGTGTGAAAGGAAGTGGGTTTGCTTTGCACAAATGAGTTGCACAATGGAGGTGTCTGACCATCGCTGGTAATGTAAGTTACAGACTTTGGGGGCAATTCATGTGATTTGAAGGGATTTGCATTTCCTTATGGCCGAATCAGAACCTTTGTTTCTCCTTTGCCCCGGCCTTGCTCATTTGTCCAGCAACAGAGTCCCCCCTGCCCCCTCACACTATCTGGCCGATGTTTGCAAAGAAACCTTGTCCTCTGCATCTCTTGTCACTGGGAACAGCCTCCCAGGACCTCTCATTCTCATGGACTCTCTTCCCTTTTCAGCATGTCAGCAGGACACGGTTTTTCCTTTGACGAAGTCTCCTGACTTCTGTCTCCCTCTGCAAAGCATTCTGGGATAGATGCGAGAGGAATGGCTCTCTGCAAAATGAAGCTGATCTTCCACAGTGACCCAAGACATTTATATTTCACAAGGAGTGAAATATGCTGTGGTGAAAAGCAGAACAATAGCTTTTATTTTTGTAGCTTCAGGCTGACCGCATACAAACATCGTGTGGTGGAGTGGATAGAAAAGCAAATGGCATGAGCCTGTCCCAAGGGAGTGAAAACCAAAGGATCTTCCAGCACACAGATCTCTCTTATGGAGCATAGGTAATACCTGAAGACACATTTCCCCAGTAGGCCAACACCTGTGCCTAGCAGTGGATGCTCTGAGCTCACTAGTAACATGGTATCAAAACCTTGAAAGAAGTGACAGCTTCTCTTAGTGAATGGAATAGCTATACCAGCACCACAAACATAATGCAAACCAGCCATGAGGCTGAGTGAAGCAGAAAGAAAAAAAAAAGCCTCCAGCACAGCATTGCCTTTTCTTTCTTAAGTACCAGGACTGAGGAAAGACCTAAAGCAATTTTTTTTTCTAAATATCCTAATAAACCTAATAAACTAATTTATTTTTCCATGGGCAGGGGTTATTACATGTGGAAAGCTTCATAAGGGAAGCAAAGCAAATAGCCCTGGAAAGCTCTGTATTCACATGCAGTCTAAAGGCCAAGCCTTTCTGAAGTGACTAGTGATTCTGGGTGAGATTTAGGGTGACTTGATGGAAAGCGTTGAGCATCTGTCCTTTTTAGCATTCTAAGTTAGGCATCCAAAAATGGAGGTACTCAGAATCAGTAGGCACTTGGCAGTTCTCACCTGGGTTTTATCAGTATTACCTTTATTATTTGAGACTGGACCAGAGAAGGGAGAGAAGAATAAATCTGCAGAAGACCCAGAACCTGAAATGCTGCCTTCAGGTCACCACTGTGTCTGAGTTCACAGGCTCAGGCTAGATCTGGACCTGGCTGAGACATCTGCGCACTGAAGAAAGTTGTGCCAGTGAGTCACTGTGTTGTGCTTGTCAGTCAGTGCCACAGTGTGGGATAGGGGACACACTGTTTTTAATGAGACATAACACTTGCATCCTAAGCACCCAGATGGACTCAATTACAGGGATGAGTAATAACTGCACTACTCAGATAGAAAGTCCTTTATGGCATGTTTTTCAGAAGTGCTGAGCACCCACAAGTCAAGCTGAAGTCAGTGGAAGCTGCCATGCTTATTTATATTTATACATAATACATGCAAAGGGACTGAGCAGCACAAGTGGCTCTCTGTCATTGCTGCCTCTCCTTCCACTAAAGATTGCAGCAGGACAAACAAGAACTCAAAGACAGCGGTCCTGTTACAGCTGAAGGAGCTTTCCTTTCAGTTTCGTGCTGTCTGCAGGTTTCCCTCAACCTTTGCCAGGTCTGGTCTACTCCCCAGGATGCCATAAAATTAAAGCATTATCACAGTCTTCATTCAGAATAAGCTTCTTTATGTAACATCTGTCTTTTATCTTCCTCTCTATTGGGCTAAAGCCAGAGTAAGGATGGAAGAAACACGCCAGCTTCATGTTTTATATTAACATTTATGAATCACAATCTGTAGCTCACTCTCTTTCAGCTATGAAAAGCAGTTTCCTGTGCCCTCGCTCTGTGGACTGAGCCATGTCTTTGAGGCAAGACACCAACCAATCTGATGCGCAGAAGGTGTGATCAGTGGTCTCTATTCATAGGGCTGTCAGATGGCAGCTCTTTCTCTGTTTGTTTAGGGGGCACAGTGCCACAAGGAAAAAACAGCACATTAGAACTTGCAAACCACGTAAGATCTGCAATTGCTGTTAATTTCCTTTGTAAAACTTCCAAGTCCCAAGTCCCGCATGATAAAACTCAACTTTCTGTCTGAGAAAGCTTTCTTGCACAATGTCCATTTTTAGCGGAAATTAGGCAGTTACTTTGGGTTGGATCAGATGCCAATACCATTCCCTTGCCTTGCACGTGGTCTCCAAAAGGAAAGGTCAGCAATTTTTTTGCAAAGTGCTCTAACTGCATGCATAGACGCAACAGATGTAAACATTTACCTTCCACAATTCCTCCTAGGGACAGCTGGACTCCCATCACCATCAGCCCAGACCTTCCTATTCTGATATTTATTTTTAACTGTTATATTATTGGCTGGCAATGACACAATAAAAGTATAAATTCTCACCCTTCAAGATATAAGGGATCAGCTGGGATCAGAAGAACTCATGGTATGTCTGAGCACAGTATACCCCTACACAGTACTGCGTTGCTTCTGTGATGCATATAGTATTAGTTATTACAAATATTATACAATAAGAAGTACTTGAAGGTGCAATTTTTGAAAAACCCTTCATACTGGCCTATCTGTACTCCCTGACAAGAATGCAGTGGGCATTTTCCCAGTGACTCCCCAGGGATCAGACTTAGGTAATTGTTCAGTTCTTCTGAAACCTCCACTGTGGAAGTATCCAGAACTGGCAAATGCTGGAGCCATAAGTGGTGGAAGGCTGGGGCTGCTAATGGGGCTCACCCCCCAAAATGTGGGGCACCGGATAGGGCCGCAAGGCAGCCTGGACGCAGGCTCTGGGCAGCTGCAGCAGAGGTGGAAGGGGTGTGCACGCAGACTGGCGTGTGTATCACTGGCTGCCCAGCATAGCAGGTAAGTACCAGTCGATTGTGTGAAGGGGGAGGGGCTGCGAGAGGGGGCAGACTGAGGCCTCCGCAGCGAGGGAGGGAGTAGGGCACAGGTAGGGGCAGGGCTGGGCCAGGTGGTGGGATAATTGGAGCCTGGGAGGCTCCTCTAGGGGTGCAGAGGGGGCTCCCGCTGCTGTGCGCACCCCAGCAGAGACTTGGGGGGCACAAGCCGCCCCAATCTGTGTGCAGGGCGGAGGTGGTTGCTGCTGCGCACTGGGCTCTGAGCCCCACTGCATCTGCCCTGGGAGCGGCATGACTCCACGTGCCTGCAGCTGCTGCTGCTGGGCTGTGCCGCGCCCCTGCCTGCTCGGTGGCAGGACGCATGTGGTGTTGTGTGGCTCTCGAGGCAGCAGGGTGCAAAGCCCAGTGCGCTGGGGCAGCTGCCTCTGCCCCGCACACAGATCAGGGGGGGCATGTGCCCCCCCTCCCCCAGGCCTCTGCTGGGGTATGCACAGCGGTGGGAGCCCCCCGCATTCCTGGATGAGCCCCCCCCAATTGTCCCATCACCTCACCGGGGCCCCATTCATCCCAGCCCCTGCCCAACTCCCTCCCTCACCCTGGCAGCCTCAATCTGCACCCCCCCCATGGCCCTTCCCCCACAGACTTACCTGCTAGGCAGGGGGTGGAGGAGGGGGGGCAGGCACACATGCACACATGCATGCGCACACTCAGCCCCCCCAAATAATTTTTTCTCCCTTCACCTGTGGCTGGAGCTGGAATTCCTAGCAGATGGGAAGTCTTCTGATGGGGCAATTTGTGTTCTCTTGGATCACAGTGGAAGACCCGCATAGAGGAAGAGCAAAACTTGGAACTCTAAGTCTGCAGACTCCCCTACTTCTCTGCTCTGGTTGACTGAAGTCGATTCACAAATATACTCCTTTTTGAGAGTAGCAACCAGCAAATCAACAGTTTGTACCTAATGTATTTTGTTGTCAGTCTCAGTATTCTGTGCCCAGGCATTCACAAGAGAAGGGTATTGAACACTGCCAAGGCGAAAGAAATAACTGGGTCTTTGACTAAAAACTCAAAACCCATTTTGGTTTGCTGCTTTTATATTTAAAAAGAAATCCCTTTTGGATCTGCTCACAAACATCCTAACAAGTGGTGAGAGAACTATTCCTCTGGTGATTTTGGAAAATCTAAGCCACACTAGAAAATTAGGTTTGACATCTGATCTTCTGAGACATTCCAGGCTGAAGGTATCCAGATAAAAGTAGAGAAACATCTGAATGCAAGAAACATCTGTTTGCTCCACCTGAACCTTTGAGGATCCTAGAGCTCATCAATCACTAGTGACTAGGCAATCAACAATGACCTCAATGTCCTGGCATACCCAGACATGCAGGCACTCGATCACCAGCTAATGCATACCTCCCACCAAAAACCCCAAAACCTCAGGTGGAGGTACAACACAGAGCTTGAACTGCTGTATTTAGCTTACTCTGAGATAGCTGTACATGCAGATGGACATCCAGTTTGTGAGCATCTTTTCCACCACAGACTCCGTCCTCCTCAGCATAAGCTTGGGATTTTTAGAAGCTGAGGCATCTATAAGATCCACCAAGAGGTCCTTCATGATGCTGGTATAATACTCCAGTTTCCCATGTAAGGCAATAGTGAGTGAGGAGGCCAGATTACACCTGAAAAGACAGGTAAGAAAGATTCTTGGGTTAATTCTACAAAGCTAAAACATCAAAAGAATTCAAGATCACAGCCATAGTTCTGATCTTTTTCATGAATCCTCACCAATGTATTGAAGTCTCACATTCTCAGTGCTATAGGGTCTCATATACAGCCTGTGCATTCTTTATGGTAAATATGGTACAAGCCTAAACTTAAAGGACTCATATATAATCCTGTATGTGACCTGTGGAAGTAATCATCCTCATCCGTGACGTATTGCCAAGGACAACAAGTCTATTCAGGCAAATTATACCAGGCAAAGCTGTCCACTAGACTTTTTTGACACGCCCTTCAAATAAAATTTCAATATTCAGGCTCCATTGTATGAGTAGAAAACCAGTGTAGCTCAACTTCCAAAGAAAACAAAGAGTGCTGCATGGTGACTGGATCACTTAGGGTTTGGTAATGGCCTCTTTCATTTGTTTAAGTGAAACTAGTCCAGTAGAGGCCAAGAGCTGTAACCACCGAGTGGACAAGTGTGCAGAGGCCTATGTGAAATAAGTTGCCAAATTTCAGTTCAGAAGCTAGCTGGGTGTGATGCTACCTGGCCTCTGCTGGTAGGCTCAGTGGACAAGCCAGGAAACTAAAAGGGCCACAGGCCCTGACTTCTGCACTGAGGCTAGGAGTGGTCTCTCTGAGCCACGGTTAGGCTTGCACTGCTGCAGCACACCCACTGTCCGGATAAAGAGGATATCGATCTCTAGCGCTGGCTGCCCATGGTGCTTTCAGGGCAGCTCTTGTCTCAGGAAGCCCTTACCTGTCTCGAACAGCAAAATCTTTCTGTTGCTCAAGAGCGTGGACAAACACAACAAGGAAGTGCCTGTTGTTGAGCAAGGTGGAAAACAGTGTGATTCCTTCTTCCATGTTGGGCCTGCAGTTTTCTGGAATCTAAAGAAAAAACAGAGACTTAGCTGAGGAGGCCGCTGTCTTTTGACTTCTTCACCAACCTTGATCCTGTTTCACTCACATGGGTGTGCTCAGCAGGACTACTAGGCAGAGGTTCCCCCTCCCTTGTCCCTTGACCTAATCTGGTATGTGCTTCTTCTCTACATAAGAACAGGCTGTGGGGAAACATGTTGCTGCAGCATTTTGATCTGCTCTGTGGAAGTCACTCTCACAAAGAAACTGTGGCCTAGATTGAAACGGCATAAATCCTGGCAAACTGTCAACCAGAAAAGCCCAAGATAAAGAGGATCTCACTGGCTACAATTCTACAGCCCTTGAACAGAACTTCACAGCTCCATCTCCTGCCACCAGCAAAAACAGATCAGATGACACATGCCTTTGTTCTCCCAGTGGTTGTTTTGTGCCTTCAAACATTCTTTAAGCATCACAGAAAAGGACATGCCAACACATAGGGCCATTGTCAGAAACAGCTCGGGTTACTCCCATGAGTTGCTCACCTTCCATTCTCCAGCCAGTAAGGGATGAGTTTCTTGGACCTGAGACCCCACTTGGGAGTTGAGCTGCTGGGAAGGCAGAATATACCGCTCCTCATAGAGCGAGGAACACTGCAACAGAACAGAGCCAGCATAAATGAGACCACATTCCTTTGCCCCTGGCCACACATGGGCAGGGTAACACTGTCAATAAGATGAAGAGAAATGTTACTGGGACTTGAGGCCACCCATCAAGAAGAAATGCTTTGGTAGGTCTTTGAGAGCTTTTAAACAGTTGGCAGGGGCCTTGTGAATGAACAAACAACACAAGAAGGGGGTGGAGGCATATGTCTAAACAGAAACAAGGCTGTTACAGGAGGGAGGCTGTGAACACACTTATCTGACAGCTACAAAATCCAAGTAGAGCACGCATTATATAGGAGGAAGTCAAAATAGATGACTCCTGGGTATTTTAACATATGCATATTTCCAGACAGAAGGGAAAAATGTTGAAATACATGACTAAAGAGTGTAGTGCCAAGATACGTACAGGCATGGGTACCTTTGAAACGTGAACTATAAGCACGAATGAAATCATCTGCAAACAAAACTCATCCTTTCACTCTCCAGGCTGAAACGCAGCTGCTTTGGGAGTGAAGTATGCCTGTTGTTTAACAGAACTCATCGGCACTGTGCAGTGGCTCAGGCCTGGAGGTAAATGACTTTGTTGTGAGCGGTGTGAAGCTGGAGGAATGATTTTAGTCAAAATTGGTCTCAGAGCTGTGTCAAGAGCATGACACCCCACATCTCTCCCCCAGGAGAGAAAAGCATGTCTGCACTCTGCTACCACAACTACAGTGCATGGGGCCGCAACAGGAACCAGAACCACACCCCACAGATGGGGTTACAGATGGGGTGAACACCTTGCATTTACTTCTCCCCTCAAAGACAACTCTTCCAGCAGCACAGCACCCAATTACATCCAACTGGCACCACTTTGCCACAGGACAGGAGGATGCGTCTACACTGTTGCAGTGCTGTGATGAAGCAGGCCACACCTGCTCCTTCCAGGCTCCACTCAAGACATGGATGCAATGCACCTGCCTCAGTAGGGTGCTGTGTGTCAACCAAAAGAAACTCCCCTGGGAGAGTGAGCCGTATGGCATACCCCCGACACTAAATTAAGGTGGCGACGCTGCATCTGCTTGAGGGTTAAGTTTGTATAGAGAAGGGGTGGTGTGCTCTAATGCAGTGCTTCCAACATAGTCCCCTGCTTGGTGGGTGGCATCTAAACACCCTTTCCCATCCAAGCACCAAGCAGGCTGGACTCATGCTGTGGCTGCCATTCTGATGGTGACTGAGTCTGAAATAAATACCACCTAGGTATACAAGAGTGAAGAACCTGTGCTTTACAGTGAGCCTTTGTGAAGGTTAGGAAAGGGATGGGAATGACTGGGTGTCTGAGACAGCTGGTGTTTTCTTACTTTGGGGAAGAAGGTCCGAGTCACAAAGTGCTTGTATTCCAGGAATGGGATCCCCTGGCTGCGGTTGAGCTCCTTGGTTAAATCTGTCATGTCTGTCTGGAGTTCAGCGAAACCTGATCCGAAGAGAGGTGCAGACTGTGAGACCCACAGGGACTAGCAGCCAGGGCAGGTGACTGACAAGCCCAGCATTTATATATGCCACAGCTCATCATTTCTGCTTCCCCACCCTGTTTTCCTTGTGCAGGACAACAGATTGTATTTAGGGCTTCCACATTAGCACTATGCCCTAAATCCTATACTTTTTACCCAAGCAAGATTCCCATTCCCTATAGATAGGCCCTGGAGGGTTTGGCCCTATTGAACAAAGGGTCAGCGTCTTCTACAGAGATTCACAGGAGACACCTGTTATTGTTTGTTAATGTGAACTTCTAGTACAGGGGCAAGCAATTACTTGGGCCCGCAGGCCACATAGGCAGTTCTGGGGAACTGTTGTGGGCCAGTCAACACCCCCACCCTCCCCGAACAGCCTGGAGCCCGTGCAGCCTCCAGCTCCTTTCTGCCACCACTGTCAGTGCCCAGCAGCAGCTGCTAAGTGCCCAGCCCTGGCCCCGGCCTTGGCCCACCTGGTACCCACTCTGGACGGGATGGAACACCTCCAGACCAGTGTGCACAGCTCCAGCCCCAGCCCTTTGCATGCCCGCTCTGGCCTGCCTGCCAATGATGTATGGTGGTGGCTGGGCAGAAGCTGCTGCTGGGTGCTGGGGAAAAGTGGCTGCTTCCCCTTTGCCACTGCTGGGCCCTTGTTGCTGCAGCTGCCTGGAGCCCATGCCCAGGCTGCCCTACAGCTCCTCTCCATTGCCACTGCTGCCCCACGGGGTGGCCCAGAGGCATCGGCAGCAGAGAGGAGCCACAGGGCAGCCCAGACGTGGGCTCTGTCCAGCTGCAGCAAGAAGGGCCCAGTGGTGGCGAGGGAGAGGTGGATGTTTTTCCCCCATGGCCAGCAGTAGCTTCTGCCCAGTCACCACCACAGCTGCTGCTGTTCACTGTGGACAGGTGGTCTGGAGCAGGCATAGGGCAAGTCAGGGTCAGCGCTTTGTGCACAGGTCCTAGCTGTTCCAGGGCTGATCTGCTCCAGTTGGGGCAGATCCGAAGTGGGTGTGGGCACAGGCGTAGGGTGGGCCAGGCCTGGGCCAAGGCTGTACATGCAGTTCCCTGCCAGTACCATGGGGCTGGGACTAGTGGTGGCAGCCAGTGAGCCATGG